CTAGCCAGCCACTAACATGGACAATGGAGTGCCAAGCAGCGTTTGAGAGACTAAAGAGACTTTTTTCTGCCGAACCAGTACTAAGGCACCCAGACATGGACAAGCCCTTCATAATACAGGCAGATGCAAGTGATGTGGCAGTGGGGGCTGTGCTATTACAAGAAAATGATGATGCAGTATTGCAACCCTGTGCATATACATCCAAGAAACTCACGGAAACAGAACAGCGCTGGCCGTATGGGAGAAGGAGGCTTATGGGATACGTTGGGCATTACTCACGTGGCGACAGTTCGTGGAAGGCAACAAAATCCCCTTCCAGGTGTGGACTGATCACAAAAATTTAGAAGCCCTGAAAACTTCCAGGAAACTCAATCCCAAACAAGCCCGCTGGTCCCAGCATTTTCACCAATTCCAATTTAAGCTCAAACATTTACCAGGAAGAAAGAACTTCCTGGCAGATGCACTATCTCGCATGCCCCAATATAACAGCGCACGAACCACAGACTCTAGACCAATAATGGCAGAGTCACAACTGGCAGCACCAGTAACCACAAGAACCCAAGCCAAATTAAAACCACAACTGGACAGCCAAACTGGAATTGAATTCAGAAAAAGTTTGGAAACAGATGAATGGTTCCAGAAAAAACAAAATGTGTGCACAATGAGAGACGGGTTGCCTTGGGTAGGGGAAAAGTTATATATACCAACAACTCAAAGACTAACTTTCATGCACCTTTGCCATGACACAAAATCAGCAGGGCATTTTGGATTTGTAAAACTTTACACTTAATTAAACGGCAATTTTGGTGGCCATCAATAAAAAAGGACATAGAAGTTATGTTGCCAGCTGCCCAACCTGTGCATCGGCAAAGAGGTTGCAAGGGAAGTCGCCAGGGCTATTACAACCAGTGGCAAGTCCCTCAGCCCCCTGGAGGGAAATAGCCATGGATTTTATAGTGGAATTGCCAGAAAGCAATGGGAATACTGTTATCTGGACAGTCACGGACCTATTTTCCAAACAGGTGCACTTTATCCCTTGCCAGAAGATTCCCACTGCAAAGGCCTTAGCAAAACTTTTCATCCAGCACATTTACAGATTGCACGGGGCACCCCAACGCATCATCTCTGATAGGGGAGTGCAATTTATGTCTGAATTTTGGAAGGAATTTTTATCCCTCTTAGGGACCACTCAGGGACTGACATCTAGCCATCACCCTCAGACAGATGGACAAACAGAACGCTGCCATTCGGTACTTGAGCAATATTTGAGATGTTTTTTAAATTTCCAACAGAGTGATTGGACAGACTTACTTCCTTTTGCAGAAGTCGCCTACAATAATGCAGTCCACTCCAGCACAGGCTACACTCCTTTTCAAATAGCCAACGGCCAAAGTTTCAACCCTATGCCAGAGTTAACCCCAAAAGAACCAACGATCCCTTCACTGAAAGAATGGATGGAAAACCTACAAAACACCTGGCCAATAGTCAGAAAATCACTAGATGAAGCTAGGCGGGCATACAAAGCACAAGCCGATAAAAAAAGGGTTGAGCCTACACCATTCATTATAGGAGAAATGGTGTACTTATCTACAAAATACCTAAAATCCCTACAGCCCTGTAAAAAACTTGGACCAAAATATATAGGACCTTTTCCAATTAAAAGAATCATAAATCCAGTAACAGTAGAATTAGAATTACCCAAAAATCTCAGGCAAATACACCCAATTTTTCATTGCAGCCTGCTGAAAAGAGAGCATCAGTCACCTCTACGGCCAAAAATCTCCCCCCCCCACCACCTCCAATCATGGTGGAGGGTGAACAACACTTCGAAATAAAAGAGATCCTTGACTCTAGGAGATATCATGGAACAACTCAGTACCTAGTTGCCTGGAAACACCTCCCTGCCTCACAAAATGAGTGGGTTCATAAACGTCATGTCAGAGCCCCGAAGCTATTGAAGAAGTTTCACACAGAGTATCCTAACAAGCCTGACTAAATTTTTTACTTGTGTTTTCTTTCAGGTGGATCTCTCTTATTTTTAAGAGGGGCCGAATGTCAGAATCCAATTATATTTCATCTTTAATTATCAAATATAGAAACTCCCAATTCTGCCTTCTCTGGATTCTGCCATAAGAGGGAGAGAAGGGAGAGAGCAAAGGGGCTTTATGGCCCTCACTTCCTTCAGTACACTTCAAAGGGCTGAATGATGAATGTGTGTGTATTGTGACCTCTAAGCGTTAGCATATCAAAGAAGGGTAATTGCCTTTCATGTAGTTATCTGAAGTCTCCATCTAGACGGAAGAAAGAAGAAAAGGGGTGGAATTGTGATACTTGAAACTCTCAATGGAAGGGGGTTTGATTGGGTGGGACTACTGGGGAACCCCTTAAAACCTTGAATGGGAGAGCTTGAACCCCAAGTCCTGTCTAGCATGCCTGCAACCACTTCTCTTAATACAGGATTCCTGTTGGAAGAATTATTCCAAGAGTTCTGTCTTCTTAAGATGCAAAGTGGGGTGGGTCCTTACACTTTGGTGGACTGATACAATAAAAATAACCTTGAATGTTAATAAAACAATTGATTTTAGAAAGAATCAGCATAGTTATATTTAACTTTGTATCAAGGCTGCAGTTGTGGATGTGGTCAATAGTATTAAGTACCTGGGTGTGCAGGTGACTAGCAATCTGACTTGGTCTCTTCATACATTATCTTTAGTGAAGTGTGCAAACCAGCATTTGTATTTCTTGTGTTGGATGAAGACAACACATCTTTCTCCCTCTGTCCTGGATACTTTTTACAGAGGCACAGTTGAGAGCATTTTAACAAACTGCATCACTGTTGTTTTGGTGGTAGTGATGCCTCAGACAGAAGGTCCATACAGAGAGTGGTAAGGACAGGTGAGAAGTTTATAGGAAGCTTGCTTCCTGTTATTCAGAATACTGCTTATAAGCACTATGTGCTTAAAGTTTGAAGCATTGTTAAAGACTCACATGCCCACTTCACAGTCTGCTTCTGTTGGTCTCTGGGAGGAGGTTTCAAAGTATTTATAGCCAAACTACTAGATTCTATAACTAGATTATGCCATCCGTTTGTAAATTCACAGGATTCTTTTTCCCCCGCCATGTATATGTATATATTCGAACTAGACTGATGTTTCTCTGTGTCATACATGTGTGTGTAGGTGGGTATATAAATAATGGTATTTTTTGAGAGCTGAATGGAATGAAATTTCATTTTAATGTATGCTGATTAATGTACATTTAAAGTGACAATAAGGATTCCTATTCTACTCTACTCTACTCTACTCTACTCTACTCTACTCTACTCTACTCTATTCTGTTCTATTCTAAATTTTGGGCACTATTTTTTAATGTATGGAGAGCCAATTTGGTCAAGTGGTTAAGGCACCAGATTAGAAACCAGGAAACTCTGAGTTCTAATCCTGCATTAGACATGAAAGCTGACTGGGAGACTTTGGTCCAGTCACTTTCTCTCAGCCCAACCCACCTCACAAGGTTGTTATTGTGGGGAAAATATTAGGAGGAAGATGTGTTGGATATATTGAGTTATTTATAAAACTAATAAAGGCAAGATGAATTAAATAAGCCCTGTAACTTATTCCTATGCCATCAATTAGAGACATGTATCACATTGCAGAACCTTCATTTATGCTTGAATAGCATAAAGCAAAAAATTAGGAATTTCTGCTTTGATTTTTTTTTTCCTGGAAAATGGAGGTATAATAGAGAGGGAAGATAAGAAGAAAAGTTTGCAGTTGCAGTTTTGCTAATAAATGTCAGCTTGGCTACAATCCATTGCCTTAACAATAATTCATAAGTACATATGATCTTCTTTAAATGCCTTCAATCTATTAACCCTCATATATGTAGAGGATCCTTGGTAGATGCAACTTTTAAGTAAAATATATTGTTCCAAGTAGAAGCAAGCAAAGCAGGTTTTTTTAGTCAAAGGATTGATCTTAAATTGTATTATCTACCCAGTAGCTTACCCACTAGTATCTCTTATAGGAATGCTTGTCACTTCCTAATTTTACTACTCTTAATAGTAATTACCTTCACTGACAGAAATTAAGCAACATTTGGGAGCAGTAAACAAATGTTATACTAGTTTCTTTCAATTCAAAATGTGTTTTTAAAATGCAGTAAGATCAATATCTATATTTGTGAGACTTAAAAAAATGTACCAAGTTTTACAATTCAACTGCAATCAACTACACGACCAGCAGGCTGACAGCAACTGTAGATCAATGACTAATTTCATGTATTTGATTATATTTTCCCCTTAGCAATAATTTCTTGGTAAATTTACATATCTACAAGAAGATACTTGTATCAGGAGGTTTAGGGAGAAAATCAGCTAAAAATTTCATTTTCCTTTGATCAAATTTCCTTTCATGTCAAGTCATATAAAATTTATATTGCTTAGAGCAGATGGCAATGAAAAGGTAAAAAGGAAATAGATAGGATCTCTTGTATTAGGAAAGCATAGATAGCTAATAGTTTTGGAATGCACAATCAAATTTATAGATTCATCAAATTTAGCAGATAGCAGCTTTCTGAGAATAGGAAGCACCTCTATGTCATGATGGAGGAGGGATTGACCTGCTTGTCCTAGTATTATTTTCCCAATGAATTTTCTTAAAGCGATTTTCTTTATTATTAGAGAAAATTAGAAGTATTCAGGCTGCAGGGATAAAAGGCTGTTTGGTACTGGTTGCTGGGGAATTTGGTTGAAAGAGTACATGAGCATACATGTCCTGATTGTTTGCTTCTTATTTTCCCATAAACATCTGTCTTCCACTGGAGAAGAATCTGCTACTATTCTTCATTACCAGTCTTAAATTTTATCCCTAGCAGCTATTTAAGGCAAGATATGAAATCATGGAAATCTACCTTGTCTTATGGGATCCCAGCATATATAAACTTAAAAATAAAAATGTATAAGATGTACATATTTTAGTTTTGCTATTTTGTATTTTCAGGGAGGAACATATGTAGAGCAGATGAATTCCTTTGCAACAATTCACTCTGTAAACTCTACTTTTGGGTTTGTGATGGAGAAGATGATTGTGGAGATAACTCAGATGAATTTCCTGAAATATGTCGTAAGTTTGTGGCCTACAGCCCACAAAAGCAGAAGCAATGAAATATTCAATCACAAATTATCTGTAGTTGTTTTTTTTCTTTAGTGCTGTTTTTCTTTTCCTTTGTCTTTAATCTGTATAAGAAGAATATTTATGTCTTGAGATTACATGTTGTATACATTACATTTGAAGCAGGCAATATTTTGTGAAGATACTCAATATGTTCAAAGAGAGTTTCTCTTTATGACTCCGGAGGAACATAATTGAAAGAACTTTCCAGCATATTTTCACTTATCTAGTAGAAATTATATAAGAAAAGAAATTATATAAGAAAAAGAAAGAAGATTTCTTTCTCCCATATTTGGGCTGACAGGGTGTACATTCAAGATAAAAATCTCCTCCCCCTGTCTCTCTCCTGATAGCTAACAGAGTGGGAGAGAGCCTGTGGCTTAGAGGTTATAACAACTGCCTCACATGCAGATAAGCCCAGGTTCGAATCTCAGAAGAGTAAGTCTGGCTGAAGAGAGTTAACGGAATTCTAAATAGCTATACCAGTTCTCTCTTTATTCTTTGTAGCAACCTAAATTATATATATATATATATATATATATATATATATATATATATATATATATATATATATATGTTTTCTGAGGTTTTCGCGGGTATTTGTATGTAGGTCTTTGGTTGTTCGGGTTTTCTCCCGCGTAAAATTGGAAGTGTCTTGGCAACGTTTCGACGAAGTCTCATTTGTCATCTTCAGGCTGGTGCTTTCAGCTTCGTGCTTTAACCCCCACTGGCAGTTAAAAGGAAGAAACAGCTAAGACCACACATTGCTGCTCAAAGCACGAAGCTGAAAGCACTAGCCTGAAGATGACGAATGAGACTTCGTCGAAACGTTGCCAAGACACTTCCAATTTTACGCGGGAGAAAACCCGAACAACCAAAGACCTACATATATATATATATATATATATATATATATATATATGTGTGTGTGTGTGTGTGTGTGTGTGTGTGTGTGTGTGTGTGTGTGTGTGTGTGTGTGTGTGAAAGACGTATTCTCTGCAGAACCAAATAATACACATTTTGGATTTTTTCACAGTAAATTTTCCATGCCCTCCAACCAGGCCATACCGATGCAGAAATAATCATGTTTGTTTGAGACATGAGCAAATTTGTAATGGAATTGATGACTGTGGTGATGATTCAGATGAAGATCATTGTGGTAAATAATCTTTACAATCTTTACAATCAAGAAAAAAACAGTCATTTTTGGGGGAGAGGAACCTTGCTTGTCTTATCATGTTTTCCCCAAAAGTAAGACCTACCCTGAAAATAAGCCTAGCTTGATTTTTTTGAGGGTGGGCCTAATATAAGCCCTACCCCAAAAATAAGTGCTAGTTTGGGGCCAAGGTGTGTGCCTAAAAATCAAACTAAGGTGGGGGGTGGAGCTTACCATTGCAGCCAGGCTTCTCATGGATTGATACTTGCCTTGCCAGCCCACTTTTTCTGCGGCCAAAGGAGAAGCTTCATTCTGCAGCTGAGAATGGAGCTCGGGCCTGCATTTTGTTGTCAGAGGTCTTTCCAGAAGGCTTATGCAGCCGAGATCCATAGCTTGATTCTCAGCTGCACAGGTCTTCTAGAAAGGCCTCTGATGGAGAAATGCAGGCCCAAGCTCCATTCTCAGCTACAGAATGAAGCTGCTCCTTTGATCGCAGAAGAAGTGGGCCAGCTGGGCAGAGCTATCAGTGCCGCCATTGCAAGGTGAGTGAAAAATATCCACCCCTGAAAATAAGACCTGGTGCCTCTTTTCAAGGCAAAAAAAATAATACCAGGTCTTATTTTCGGGGAAACACAGTAATTGAGACTATAATTCACAGATCTCTAAATATGGCTTGAGTGGCAGAATTCATTCTAGCGTAATGGTGGTACAATAAGAGCAATAAATTCTCCTTTGGTAGCTCTCATGTACTGTAGGTGTAAAGTAATAGCGCTCATTTGTATTTCTAGAATAGGAATCATACTGGTATTCTCAGCAGTAAGTGGTATCCAAATGGCTCTTCAGAAACCTAGCTATCAGTTCTATATTGTGCTTCTGATCTTGCTTTTGTTGTAGGTTGTTTTTTTTTCTTTATTGAAAGAACATTAATTGGACTGAAAGCTTTTGCTCAATAGGGTGAACTCCTAACTGTTTATTTTAGAAAGTATTGTTCATGCTGAGCCAGCGAAACATTGTATAAAATCAGTTTGACCATCAAATCTGAATAACTCCAAAATGACTAAATAGACTTGAAGATGTCATCAGGCAAAAGTTGCCATTATGTAATGACATATAAATTATGACATTTGACTGATGACGTCAACATGCACATTTTCTAATTCATCCCCCATGGACATTCATGTATCTAGCCATCCCAAACATCTAGAACTTATTCTTTTTCTCCCTGTCAAGAGATTGGGAAATAAGTGTGTTTGATTGATTATGTGCCATTAAGTTGTTTTCAGTTCGTAGTGGCCACATAGGTAATTTTTCTCTATGATAAGGAAAACACATCCCTTCAACTTTTTTGTTATTTCTTTCATTTGACATTCAGTTGCTTTAAGCTGATATAGTGGCAGAACCCTACTTCAGATGAGTATTGTCTTTACAGTATGTGAAAAGCAACTATAATAGTGATCCTGCTCCCTACCTGTCAATGTGCATTCAGCCTGTTCAGTACCCTTTTGCTGGCTTGTTATTGTCTTGAATTTACGAATAGAGCAGACATCACTCTGTGAGTAATGTATTTCTCCTTTAGGCATTTGTAATATTGAGATCTGGGGCCTCATATTCTCTGCCCCTGGAGCAATAGAAAGCCTTTATTATTTTATGATTTCTACACAGCAGGCACCTACATGTCCAGGAAACAGCATTCTGTAAAGCCTTTTGCATTTATTTTTATGAATAACAATAATATCAAAGGCTAAAAACAGTTGACTGCCCCCATGTGTCTTTTTGCAGACAGAACTACATATAAAGCCAGACCTTGTAAAAAGAATGAGTTTGCATGTAGTAATAAGAAGTGCATACCTATGGCACTAGAATGTGATCAGTTTGATGACTGTGGAGATGGTTCAGATGAACAAGGCTGTAAAACAAGTAAGTTTGATTAAGAGATGGCCAAATTTTTATGCTCAAGGACAGAAAAAAATACAGAATAGAATCTGAATAATCTAATTGATCTTAATTTTGTATCAACGTGAACAGTACAAACTAAGCAAGTTATTTTATGATAGACCTAACGGTGTAATTCAAATTATAATTATTGATATTTTACATATATGTTCATGAGATGGATTCATTTATGGAATTTCAATGCTTTAACCATTATGTTATCGCTGCCAGATACCCCATTGTTCTTCCTGTTTCAAGAACGTAAAGTTATTTTGTTACATGTGGCTTGGTCTCCAACTTGCAGTGTTAGTTGTATAATGGTTTTTTCACAGCTTCCTTTGAAGTTGAGAAAAATAATATTGTGCTAAAGTGTCACAATTGTCTATTAATATTTATACAGTTTATAATACCTGGATGCAGTACATTACAAACATTTGCCTCAAATGTCCTCTATTTCTTCAACCAAAAGGAGGAAAATAGTTTTCAATGCATATAAAAGTGCTTTTTGATTTAAGTTTTTTATTACTTCAGTCCTGGACACTAAAAAATGAAAAATACGCTAATCATCTAGTCACATAGAGAAGAATGGTAAGGAAAAGGAACAAATGAGAATGTTAATCCTTAAAGGAAGAAAAAAAATGAAGACTGTGATATAGATCAGAGCATTGGGATCAGCAATTGTATAGGGCATTGTTTAATTAAAATATGAGATTAGTGAGGAATACTATTCAATTTGAATTTATTTGTGATTTGAGAAAATAGTTTTCCTAGGCTGTAATAGAAAGTATCATAAGTGTAGCTTCTTTGGGTACCCGTCCCAAAAAGAATGAATGAAAAAACGGATGATAGGACTTTTAGAGATCATCAACCCTCCTAAATGTCTGTGGGAATATTTCCAAATTTTCACCACAGTATATTTTTAGAAATTCATCATACTTTAAAAAAAATAAAGATAAGATAGGGAATGAAGAAAGAGTATATAACCATCAACAACAACTTATTTCCTAGATATTTTGTTCTCCTTGCCTGATAAAAATTAATGGGGGAGGAAGAAATAATGGATCCTGAGAATGAACAAACAGTAAAAAAAAAAAAAAGCTGCTGATATTATGAAAGAAAAAATGCTCGTTGTTCTAGGGCATATCAATTAAACTCATTTATGTTCAAAGTTGATCTCTGTTTAAGGTTCCAATAAAATATGCAAAGTCATTATATTTGAGATTCTGCTGGCTATCTCATTTGCATATTTTATACACTTTAGTATATAGTGGGAAAGAAATTATTACATTAAATTTAACTTATTCCATCTGATACATAGAAAGGCCAACCATCCAATAAAAATGTGTACATTTGAATTTTTAGAATTCATTTCCAACATCCAATTCGTTTTGGTTCAGAACTCTTTGGATTTGTACTCGGGTCTGAATATATGTTCTGAATCATATTTAAAAATAGATTCCTTGTAGATATTCCATGTATTCCTCTCTCAATTTATTTTAATATCTATATACGTGCACACAGACACACAGAGATACACATTTAAAAAAACATTAAAAACAAAACACTAACTCTTATACATTTTCAAAAATGTAGGAAAGAATAAAAAAAGGATTCTAGATTATCAACAGTCATTTAGGTAAGTTCCAGCATATCTCCATTAAGGTCATCTTCCTTACTCTCTAACACAGCTTAACAGATTTAGTGTCAAACTTAGTTAAGAAATCCATCTAATAAAATCCTTCCCAGAGGCAATGAAATCACAACCACTCCTATTTTGAAAGTCTTATTTCCTTTTACCCAGAACCCCCGAACAACCTTAGTTGTTTCTGTTTAGAAACTCTAAAACCTGGAGCTAGTGCATAGAGATTGAAAGAAGATTAATCCTTTCTCAACTTCTTTCTTTGTTTTATCAACCAATTCCCCTCAGAGAGTTGAAAAGCAAAATAGGAACAGTAGAGACATTGCAGGACCACCTTCTCGTTCACCTGAAAAAGTGATAATTGCTTAATCATAAATTAGGCATTATTCCACATTTGGATGCCATGGCGGATCATGGTTAAAGTAGGTTAATCTATAATAAGCTATTGTTACAAACTGTGGTAAAAGTACTGCTCCATCACCTATGCTTACTGGCTTAACATGTTACATTAACTGAATCATTCAGAAACTTCTAATTTGGAATAATAGGGAGGGGATTCAAGAAACATGCTGATCCTCCAAACTCTTGAAACATGGAGTCAGAGCTGAAATAGTTCCAACCTTGTTTCAACCAAAATAAGTTCTGTGATACTCTGCTTTTTCTTAAGGTCATATAAAAATAACTTCTGTCAAAATAAATTTTTGAAATATTATGTCTTTGTGTATTAAATTTTGCTTATAGAAAGAATCATGATTGTTTATAGTTAGTATAAAAATGTTAAAAAAATTTATTTTGCAAACATTTAAATTTATGTTTGTTCTTAGGCTTGACTGAATACAACTGTGAAAATAATGTGAATCCTTGTGGTGATGATGCATATTGTAATAAAACCAAAACATCAATTTTCTGCCAATGTAAGCCTGGATTTCAGAGGAATAGGAGAAACTGGCAATGTGAAGGTATTTCTGAAGCACTGCTTTGAAACATTCTAAAAATGTTTCATAACATTACTATATGATGTTAGAAGTTTGATTTTAATAACAGTTAAAGTATAGAGGAAGTCGTTTCATTTGTGGCAACTGGAATTACAGGGTTTTTTAAAAATTTCTCCTGAAAGTTAAGCAGTCAAAATATAATGAGCATTTTTTAAATAGCAGCAAGAATTTAGTTGGTTTTATTATTTCTTGGAAAAATGTTCCTCCTAAAACACCTTAAATCAGTCGAAATAGAACTCCAAATAAAAGTATGACTGCTTTAAGAATTATATTAATTATAACGCAATAGCTCCTTAAACATAGAAGTCTGGAAAAAGAAGAACTGTTTTTCCAAATATACAGTGCTCTTTTTTATATGTACTGTACTTTGAAGTATGAACATTTCAAATCTGAGAGTTTGGGGATTCATTTCATATGAATTTATCAGTCTATATCAAATATGCTCTTGGTGTTTTATGGAATATTTATAATTTGTGTTCATGCTTATGGTGACTGTTAAAATCTTCAATATTCAGTCAGCTAGAATTCAGGAAATTTGAAAATGCTGAAATGTTTTGCTGATTGTACATGGATCAAAGATAAAAGCCTGCAGATTGTATTTATGCCTATGATCAGTGGTGGAGAATTAAAAGGAAGGAAAGCAGCACCAGTGTAGTATGATGTCACACAGAAAAATGTAGCTTGCATCATGATATGCAATACTGCTTTCAGCATTTTGAAAAACGCATTGGTTCCTATGGATATCTATGACTATGATACATTAACCCAGGCTTGCACAGTTTATGTTAGATGGAAAGCATCCCAGGCTTTGTACTACATGAAAAGGGCTGCATTCTAGAAATGAGCAGATCCAGGGCCATAGCCTGGGCTCAATTAAGTATAGGACTTCAGAATTTAATGATGTTTTACAGCAGTGGTTCTCAACCTTTCTAATGCCGCGACCCCATAATACAGTTCCCCATATTGTGGTGACCCCCAACCACTTATACATCACCGGGTGCCAGGGGCATGGCCAAAGAAAAGGGGGGGAATGGCGGACAGCCTTGTTTGGCGACCCCCGTGAAATGGTCGTTCGACCCCAAATGGGGTCCCGACCCACAGGTTGAGAACCACTGCTTTACAGAAATGGCTGTTTGGCTGTATTTTTTCTATCGGTGCTTTATACTATTAAAATATTGTTTATGAATTGTTTTGAACTATATTAAATTTGTTTCCAAATTTTAATACCACCTGTCCCATCTTTTTGAAACAGCTTATATATAACTTGAAACAAATAATAAAGAATTTTCTTTTCTAGATATCAATGAATGTCTAATATTTGGCATCTGCTCCCAGCTCTGTATCAATGTAAAAGGGTCATATAAATGTACTTGTGAAAAGAACTATAAAGAGAAAAACAGTAGCTGCATTGCAAAAGGTAAGCTGACAAAAGAATTCATGATATTGGTGCACACAGCAATCATGACTCTTTTGTGCACAATGGCATTGTAAATAAGTATACAACAGGACATGATGAAAAAGTATTTTTCTTCTGTTTCTACCCCTTAATTGAAACAAAGCAGTATGGTAATTTTGATGACAAGCCATTTCTTTTATAATCTGATTTGAAATTTTTCATAGTCCTGCATATGATAGAAAATGTGAACAGATCTACTATTTTTCTGACCATCCTAATGCATTGTTTCATTGCATGGCATACTTGTCTGGGACTGAGGAGGAAAGACAAAGCATTGTTAAACTTTACTGGTATGTCCTCCGTGTGCATGCTCAAAAAAGGAGCACACAGAGAAAGTTTTTCCTCAGGTTCCTATTTGAGATTGAAAGCCTTAAAATCATATAATATAATTTCACTGTTTCTATTTTAAGAAGAAGAATTGCGTATGCACCTGAATTTTGATAATATATATTAAATCTTGCATTTATTACACTCATTTAATTACTGAAAGCAATAAATTAAAAAGTAATTTGTTTGGAGTTCTTGATTCAAATCATATGATTCGCTTGGAAAATAGTATTATCTCCTGTCAGCCTCCATCGATAGACTATTTTCTGTGAATAGAAATAGCCGTTTCTCAGAATGGTTAATCAGAATCCCAATCCTTTCCTTAAATACACTAATACCTTGATTCTAGAGACACATAAATTTTGTTTGAAGTATTGCTAATATTACTGAAATTCTTTAAAATGACTCAGATATATCCCCTGGTGAGGAATCAACAAGTTTCCTTTTATTTCTGCTTTCACATACATTTAGACTATAATGGAAACTTCATTGGACTACTAATATTTACACATAAAATTTGCAATTTTAGATAATAAAACTGTACAACTGCTGTGTACTTTCCATTATTTATTCTTAAAATATTTCACAGCACCCTTCATTAGTAAATATTCCACAGCAATTTACATAAATGAAATAGTGGAATTTTAAGATACAAAACAATGTAAAAAAGCCATTTGCTTAAAGCTATTGACCTTTTTTAAAAAATTGCCTGAAAATAACATATAGTGCCTGGTATCTGGAAAAAAAAATGTTGGCATCAAATGAATGTCTCAGGAAAACCTCGCAGGTCATCTGAAATTAAACTCTTTTCTTCTAGCTGCTTCTCTGAAAAGAAGAATCCAACAATGTGGTCTAAGAGTACTCCTCTTCAAATAAGTCTATTTGAAATTTATAATTTACTCAAAAATATAGAAAGCATATATAAAACTTTAAAATAAATGAATTGCCTTTCTTTTTAATAGTTGAAATTTACTTTATTTTTGTATTTCATTACAATAATTTCCAGGCTCTGAAGATCAAGTTCTCTACATTGCTAATGACACTGATATCCTGGGTTTTGTATATCCATTCAACTACAGTGATGTTCATCAACAGATTACTCACATTGAACATAACTCAAGAATAACTGGAATGGATCTGTATTATCAAGGGGAAATTATTATTTGGAGTACTCAATTTAATCCAGGAGGCATTTTCTATAAAAAGGTCAATGGGGGAGAAAGACGACAAAGCAGTAGCGGTGTGATAGTAAGTCAACAATGCTGAGATATTTTGCATGTTTTTATTTTGGAATTCTTTTTTCACTTAAATGTGACAGTTTCCAAATACAAAAAGTTCCAGATAACTTAAAATTCCAATTCTTTATCCTTGTTAACCCCAGTAAGTCAGTATAGATTTACAAAACAAAAAAGCCATGGGTTGTATTGTGGTGGTGGCGTAATGGTTAGAATGTAGTATTGCGGGCTAATTCTGCTGACTGCCAGCAGTTTGGCAGTTCGAGTCTCACCAGCTCAAGGTTGGCTTAGCCTTCCATCCTTCCAAGGCTGGCAAAATGAGGACCCAGATTGTGGTGGTAATAGGCTGACTCTGTAAACTGTTTAGAGAGGGCTATAAAGAACTGTGAAGCTGTATATAAGTCTAAGTGCTATTGCTATTGTACCTGGAACTGATTTTTACTGTGATTAAAAAAATGTTTTCTTCAATGTGAACCTGTTTATAATTATAATCACTTTAAGAATAAAAATATTTACACTTGTTGGCGTTTGATAGGTCATGACCAAATAATATATATATTTAGTGCCTGTAAAATATGCCACCCTGGGAATAATTCTTTGTTGCTATAATACAGATATTATCAGAAGAGAATATATATAGCTCAGGATTGAACTGTGGGGTCCAGTTTTCTTGCAGACTAGGATCCATTTGCCCAAGTAGGTAACATTCAGTGCTAGCTGAAGATGTTCAGTGGTGGCACTGAAGCCATTACCTAATCAAGTGCAAACAGCCAAGCTCAGAAAGTGCCAAAAAGTGCATTTGATACCAATGTTTTTATCTCTTTGTATGCCCAAATATCTCCTACGTAGGCTGCAACAAGCAATACAGTAGATTTCAGTACTTCTCAGCTTTGATGCTGTTTATTATCATGTTATTTCTAATTAACAATATCCTGATTTGGCCAATTATCGGTGTCCTGAATATATCACAAAGAACTTGTTGGAATGCCTTCCCTTTAAGGGACCGGTCATCAGTGCAACTGTGGCAGGTAGGACACTTAGTCCACGTTGCACCATTTTTTACAAATATTGTTGTTGTTGTTAATTGCGAAGTCGTGTCCGACCCATCGCGACCCCATGGACAATGTTCCTCCAGGTCTTCCTGTCCTCTATCATCTTCTGGAGTCCATTTAAGTTCACACCTACTGCTTCAATGACTCCATCCAGCCATCTCATTCTCTATCGTCCCTTTCTTCTATTGCCCTCAATCTTTCCCAGCATTAGGCCCTTCTGCAGTGAGTCCTTCCTTCTCATTAGGTGGCCAAAATATTTGAGTTTCAACTTCAGGATCTGGCCTTCTAAAGAGCAGTCGGGGTTGATCTCTTCTAGGACTGACCGGTTTGAACACCTTGCAGTCCAAGGGACTCGAAGGAGTCTTCTCCAGCACCATAGTTCAAAGGCCTCAATTCTTTGGCGCTCAGCCTTTCTTATGGTCCAACTTTCACAGCCATACATTGCAACTGGGAAAACCATGGCCTGGACTATACGCACTTTTGTTGGAAGGGTGATGTCTCTGCTTTTTAGTATGCTGTCTAGATTTGCCATAGCTTTCCTCCCCAGGAGCAAGCGTCTTTTAATTTCTTGGCTGCAGTCCCCACCTGAGGTGATCTTGGAGCCCAGAAAAATAAAATCTGTCACTACCTCCATTTCTTCCCCATCTATTTGCCAGGAATTGAGAGGGCCAGATGCCAGGAGTTTGGTTTTCTTAATGTTGAGTTTCAAGCCAACTTTTGCACTCTCCTTCTTCACCCGCATCAAGAGGCTCTTTAGTTCCTCTTCACTTTATGCCATTAGAGTGGTATCATCTGCATATCTTAGGTTGTTGATATTTCTCCCGGCAATCTTAATTCCAACTTTTGAGTCATCTAGCCTTGCCTTTCTCATGATGTGCTCTGCATATAAGTTAAATAGGCAGGGCGACAGTATACAGCCTTGCCGGACTCCTTTTCCAATTTTGAACCAATCAGTGGTTCCGTGTTCAGTTCTCACTGTTGCTTCTTGACCCGCATATAGGTTTCTCAAGAGACAAAAGAGATGGTCTGGTACTCCCATCTCTTTAAGAACTTGCCACAATTTGTTGTGATCCACACAATCAAAGGCTTTTGCATAGTCAATGAAGCAGAAGTAGATGTTTTCTGGAACTCCCTAGCTTTCTCCATGATCCAGCGTATGTTGGCAATTTGATCTCTAGTTCCTCTGCCTCTTCGAAATCCTGCCTGTACTTCTGGTAGTTCTCGATCCACATACTGCTGGAGTCTAGCTTGTAGGATTTTAAGCATAACTTTAATAGCATGTGAAATGAGTGCAATGGTGCGATAGTTTGAACATTCTTTGGCATTGCCTTTCTTTGGAATTGGAATGTAAACGGACCTTTTCCAATCCTGTGGCCACTGTTGAGTTTTCCAAATTTGCTGGTAAATTGAATGTAGCACTTTTACTGCATCGTCTTTTAAGATTTTGAATAGCTCAGCTGGAATACTGTCACCTCCACTAGCTTTGTTGTTGCTCAGATTTTCTAAGGCCCATTTCACTTCACATTCTAGATGTCTGGTTCGAGGTCAATGACCATCTCATTGTGGTTATCTGGGATGTTAAGCTCATTCTTGTATAGTTCTTCTGTGTAGTTTTGCCATCTCTTCTTAATCTCTTCTGCCTCTGTTAGGTCTCTGCCATTTTGGTCCTTTATCATGCCCATCTTTGCATGAAACGTTCCTTCATATCTCCAATTTTCTTGAAGAGATCTCTGGTCCTCCCTATTCTGTTGTTTTCTTCTATTTCTTTGCACTGTTCATTTAAGAAGGCATTCTTATCTCTTCTAGCTATTTTCTGGAATTCTGCATTCAATTGGGTGTATCTTTCTCTTTCTCCTTTGCCTTTCGCTTCCCTTCTTCCCTCAGCTATTTGCAAAGCTTCCTCAGACAGCCATTTTGCTTTCTTGCATTTATTTTTCTTTGGGATGGTTTTAGTTGCTACCTCTTGTACAATGTTGCGAACTTCCATCCATAGTTCTTCAGGCACTCTGTCTATCAGATCCAGTTCCTTAAATCTATTTGTCACCTCTAATGTATATTCATCAGGAATATGATTTAGTTCATACCTGAGTGGCCTAGTGCTTTTCCCTACTTTTTTCAATTTAAGCCTAAATTTTGCAACGAGAAGCTCATTATCTGAGCCACAGTCAGCTCCTGGTCTTGTTTTTACTGACTGTATACAGCTTCTCCATCTTTGGCTGCAGAGCACATAGTCAATCTGATTTCTATGTTGACCGTCTGGTGATGTCCATGTGTAGAGCAGTCTCTTGGGTTGTTGGAAAAGAGTGTTTGTTATGACCATCGTATTCTCTTGACAAAATTCTATTAGCCTGTGCCCTGCTTCATTTTGTACTCCAAGGCCAAACTTGCCTGTTATTCCGGTTATCTTTTGGCTTCCTACCTTAGCATTCCAATCCCCATGATGATAAGGACATCATTTTTTGGTGTTAATTCTATAAGGTGCTGTAGGGCTTCATAGAACTGGTCAATTTCATCCTCTCCAGCACCAGTGGTTGGGGCATAGATTTGGACTACTGTGATATTGAATGGTTTGCCTTGGATTCGAATTGAGATCATTCTGTCATTTTGGGGATTGTATCCCCGTATTGCTTTTCCTATTCTTTTATTGACTATGAAGGCTACTCCATTTCTTCTGAGGGATTCTTGCCCACAGTAGTATACCTGATGGTCATCTGAGTTAAATTCACCCATTCCTGTCCATTTTAGTTCGCTGATTCCTAAGATGTCGAGGTTCAGTCTTGTCATCTCTTTTTTGACTACGTCTAGCTTGCCTTGATTCATGGATCTTACATTCCAGGTTCCTATGGAGAAAAAATCTTTACAGCATCGGACTTTCCTTTCACCACCAGATATATCCACAGCTGAGCGTCCTTTCGGCTTTGGCCCAGTCGCTTCATTCTTTCTGGCACTACTAGGACTAGCCCTCTGCTCTTCCCCAGTAGCATATTGGACACCTTCCGACCTGAGGGGCTCATCTTCCAGCGTCATATCTTTTTGCCTTTTAGTGCTGTCCATGGGGTTTTCATGGCAAAGATACTGGAGTGGTTTGCCATTTCCTTCTCCAGTGCATCACATTTTGTCAGAACTCTCTGCTATGACCTGTCCGTCTTGGGTGGCCCTGCACGGCATAGCTTATAGCTTCATTGAGTTACACAAGCCCCTTCGCCATGACAAGGCAGTAATCCATAAAGGGGTTACAAATATTAGAAGAATTCTATTGATTCTCTCAATAGTGCAGTTAACTTGAAGCACATATCATTCCCTGCAGTAGTTTCTATAATGCCTTTTGAGCATTCTGAGTTCTTGTCTGAGAAAGTTCTGTGTATGCAGTATGTGGGTCTGTGTCTGCAGAACTTTAGACTTCCCAGAGATTTGTATACTTAAGAAGGTAAGCATGAGCCTATTTTCTCTTTATCTTATGTGGATTTTAGTGAAATTTGTCCATTTATCTAAATTATATTAAGTGATTGTAACTGAAGCTAGTAATACATCAGTCTTGAAATAGTTATTCTATATTGTATTTATGGTGCATATTTATAAATTAAATTGTAACTTTAAAATAAAAAAAATAATTGTAGATATTGAAGCAAAAGTCATTGTTTCCTGTACATTATTTATATATCAATGAATATATTCCTAACAATTTAAATTTAAGAATAGAAGAATAAAAAAAAATAAGAATGGTATGTCTTTGTATTTTAAAACTGCAGAAAAATATGCTGCTCTGGAAAAGTATTTAAGTTGGGTAAGCCCCAGGTGACTTTCTTCTGTTCCATGTTGGCTTTTCTGTGAACAGTGAAGACTCTTTGCAAGAGATAGAATATCTCTATAATAGCCCAGAACCATAGTTGCAAGTCATGGCAGTTATAAAAAATGTCACCATGTATTCTGATTTGATTTTAGGACTGCATCCTGGCTTTGCCAGGCACAGTCATTAAAGTGAAAAAAGCGAAGAAGAAAAAAAACAACTTGCTGGAGGGGAACAGGCAGCTCCTCTCCATGCACAGATTCAACCTTCTTTTCTCCAACCCAGAGCTGCATTCCCCTCGTATCTTCTGGAGGCATTCTGCCCAATACAAGGCAAAATAAATCTGTTAGGTCAGCGGTTCTCAACCTATGGGTCGCGACCCCATTTGGGGTCGAACGACCATTTTACAGGGGTCGCCAAACAATGCGATCCGCCATTTTCCCCCTCAGGGGGCGGCACCGCGCATGCGTGCCACGCATGGGGGTGCCGTCGCGCATGCGCACCACACATCCATGTGACGGGTGTCGCCGTCACACAAAGGTTGAGAACCGCTGTGTTAGGTAGACCTTTTGTTCTCAGAGTGAAAAAGTCAACTTTCACCCAGCCTCCTTGATAGCAAAAATGCTGCTTAGTGGAGAGATTCACTGGAGTCCATTTTCAACCAGCCTCATAGACAGGAGATTCCACCCAGTGTGGGACAAAATCAATGAAGCAGTGCTTTTGCTATCAAAAATGGCTGAAAAAGATCCCTCCTAAGACGCAAGCAGAAATCCAAGCTTGGATTTCAGGAGGGACTCTTTTCACTAACCTCCAGGAATCAACCAGGCAACTGCAGCCTGCTATCTTCCCTGCTGAATTCCCTGTTGATTTTGTGGGGTAGCCAGTAGGAAAGATTGCAGATGGCAATCACATGATTTCAGGATGCTTGTCCATCCATCGTTAGTGTAAGCTGATTGTCAAGTGCCCAAATTGCAATTACATGACCATGGAGCGCTGCAACATCTGAAGGTTAGGCAATGGTTGTAAGTTCCTTTATTTAGTTAGCACTGTTGTAATTTCAAGTGGGCTGGGCAGGACTGGAGCCTTCTGTCAATACCAACTGGTACAAACCCCAGAGGAAGGAGGAGAATCAGCACAACACTGTGCTGCCAAACCCCAACTTTCAAGCTGGTCCAGAAGGATACCATGATCAGTGGTATAGAAGGCCACTGAGAGGTTAAGAAGAGCAAGGATGGATGCACCACCCCTCCTGCTTCTGCCAGTGGTCATCCAAAAGTGAGATCAATGCTATCTCAATTCCATATCCAAGCCTGAATCCTGAGTCAAAGGGATCCAGATAATAATCTGCTTCATCCAGAACCCTATGAAGCTGCTGTGCAACAACTTTTTCTACAACTAACCTGGGCATTTTATGGCCCCAAGGCCACATCTGACCCTTTAGTTGTCCCTGTCCAGCCTGCATGAGGTCAATCAGAAATTAGAAATTAAATGTGAATAGGTGTGCTGCAGGAAGCAAGAGAAGAGGCTGAGTCGAGTACAACTCTGCACAATTGTTCTGCGCTCCTTCAGTCGATTGGCTGAGTTTTTTCACCTGTTTTCTAACCCTGTCAATCGATACTGCAAATCCCATGGCTTAAAAACTATATGGAAGGCAAAAAATATAATATGCAAAGCAATTGTGGCAATCTATGAAGCATAAAGTATTTTTGGAGAAAAATAAATTTGAAGTCATCATAGTCTATTGAAATATACAATTATTTATACTTTAAATGTTCTTCCAAGGTCAATGTTAAAATGCTAGGTTTCTTTATAGATCAATCAGGTCAAATAAATATATAGCAGACCAATTTTAAACATCTATTTTTTGCTTTCTTTCTAGTGTCCTGAATTCAAACGCCCTAGAGACATTGCAGTTGACTGGATAGCTGGAAACATTTACTGGACTGATCATTCCAGAATGCATTGGTTTAGTTATTATACAACTCATTGGACAAGTTTAAGATATTCCATCAATGTGGGACAAATAAGTGGACCAAACTGTACAAGACTCCTTACAAATATGGCAGGAGAACCATATGCAATTGCCGTAAATCCTCTGAAAGGGTACGTTGTTAACAAGAACTTTTATGATAGGCATTATGTTAGGCATCATATAGTGCAAATGCCTCTGGAAAGACATAGCTCCTGAGTTTGCTTGGTCCTTCTCTTCACAGAGAAGAAAATTAGCCCTTTCTTGCCTGCTCCTTTACTTATTGACAAATTCTCATTTAAAATTACTCAAAATGCAAATTCCCTATGAGATCAACGAGAATGACTTTAACATTTTAATTTAAATAATAGCCAGTTGAATAGTCCAATGGAGCCTGGTAAAAAGCAGAAATATAAATATATAGAAGTCTGAAATAAACATTTTTAATACCAAAAATAATATACAGGAGAACACTGAAAGGTTGCTTGGGAGCCAGAGTCATAGATCTTTTCTGAAAGGGCAGTGATCAAAGTCAGACTAAAGACCCCTGCAAAGCCTGCAATAACTGCATTTAACTTTGTCACAAAACTGATATTGCCCCATATATTTCTGTTTTCAGTACTTGTTTCACTTGAGCCTAATTATATCTATACTGCTTTGAACGTCCACTTATTGCAATTCAGACAGTGGGTAGCAGTTGCTATTTAGAAACAAAATAAACCATAGCTCAATAAAATTGTGCCCTATGCCTTGGGAAAATATGTGAGACTTCTCAGATAAATGTTTAAATTCAGGGAACAAGACAAAAATAAATCTATGTTATGAAGACACCACTAATTGGCAATTTTAGAAGAAGGAATTCCTGGCCTTTACACCAAGGATATTACAAAATGACGAAAGAGAAAAGAGCCACTGGCTTATTATCATGTATCCCTAGCTTATTATTCTTAACTTCACATCTCAGTCCTATTTAAATGTTTATAAAGTAAGACATAAAATGTAATACATATAATGTAAGAACATTATAGCCCAACCATAATTAACCAGAGATATTAAAATATCCCACGAGAAGCTATCATGTACATCTAGGATTTATGTCTGGGCATTATTCTCATTAGTTTTTCATTTGGGTTCATGGAATAGAGTTTCCTTAGTTTCAAAATAAAAAATAGGTAGCTTTGTGAATTCTCATAAGGACCCAAAATGAATAAACTGACCTATAGCAGCAGGCTCTTTGTGTTAAGTATTATGGAACAGTACTATGTGATTTGTGTTTGGGATTTCCAGCATGATGTATTGGACTGTAATTGGAGATCGTTCTCATATAGAAGAAGCAGCGATGGATGGTACTTTGAGGAGGATAATTGTACAAAAAAATGTACAAAGACCAACAGGTACAGCTAAATTTTAATAATACATTATATATTAATGGACTCCATTTCAGCTAAAAAATTAAGTTATTCTGTGCTATATTGCAGCCTAGCAATAATCCTGATTCTGTGTTTTTTTGTATTGTTTTCTATATGCGGCAAGAATTGCTTTTTTTCTATTTTTTCGCCCTTGATGTTGCAAGTATGTATTTTTTTCTGTTATTCAAATGTCATATACAGATTGTACTTGTAGAATAACATAACCTTGCAATGTATACAACAATATACAATATATACAACTATATAGTACTTGTTTTTTGATGCTTATTAATTCAGCATAGGTGTCTTCAAGAGGGATTAAGTGGGGCAAATGACAACGATCCACCCAGAGTTGCATTTTAAGATAAGTAGCCATATTAAATAAAGAAATAAGAAATGAAATGTGCACCACAATGTTGTGACACATAGTACATGACTTACGTACTTCCATTCACTGTTTGGATCCAATATAAAAGGTTGGGCAATGAACAGTTCATCCTGTTTCCATCATTTTGATTTGTGCCTGACTATTTTGATTGCAAAAGAAACAATTTTAAAAATTTCCGTACACAGCAAATAAGTTACAGCTGCATTTGACCATTACATCTTTTTTTAATTTCAAATATTTTATTATCTTATAATAAAATAAGATAATAAATAAAATAAAAGCTTTTAAAATAAGAAAAATAAGAAAAATCGATTCATGTGATATTTCCTTACTAACCTAACAGGTTGCTAAAACAGATTACACAACTGCTGCTTTCTGACTATTAAAATGAGCAGCATACAAATAAATCAATAATATTCACATTGTTAAAGTTCATTATACAGATAAATTAGTATTAATATTTTATTCAATCAATCATTGATAATATTAGATACAGGTCAGCAATTATCTTCACATATGACTAAGAAGAAAAATGAAGGACGGTGTGGGAAATAAGGCATCACATCATTCTTATTTGTACAGTAAACAATGTCCTTCAGTGTGATATAATCCTAAAATGATAAAGCATGTAGCCGTCAAAGCATTCCTTAAACTGGAATTTTATTAGGAAACATTTTTTAACAATATAACAGAGTTGACATAACAATCTTTATATTGATCTTAGAATGTAGATGTAATATATAAAAGTTATGCAAGGAATATAAACAGAAACTTTAAGAAAGTGGCATAAAAATGTACAGCTTTTTGTAAGTACATTTATACATACATTGTACAAACTGTGACATTAGATATCTGTACATCCTACATAGATCTGTGATATTTTTAATAGAGAATATTATACATAAGTTTCCTTGGTATAGAATGAAATCCTGGGAATCAGGGAAATACTGGAGACTTACAGTAGGAGAGCAAGCATTGTGTTTTGAATCCTTCTGAGAAACAAGAAAGACTAATACAATGATATATTATTTCTGTTTTTGCCCTTGTGTACTAGAGTTGTTAGGAGCAATTATTATTCTTATTTGCATACATAAGTGTTCTCAGTATTGACATAAACGTTTTACGTATCATTTAGAGTGTATGAATCAAGTGCACTTTAAAATATTAACAAAGCAGTGGCAGACTGCAAAACTCTGAACAAACTCCGGTATTACTGAGTTTTTTTTAAAGTTCTTTTGTCAAAGATTGAATAAAGTCTAAATTAAATGTCCGCACTGATTCTGGGAAAAGTTGGAGTTGATTTAAAGTACAATAGATAACTGTAATGTTTGTGATGGTTCTGAAGTGAAAATCAGTTGTCAAGCATAGCCAATCTTAGTCTGAATTAGAATTCAGTAATACTCATTACAAGCAAATTTTTACTTTGGAAAATGTACATTGATTCCACCGTAATTAATGCTGAATGTGAAATCAATATTGCAAAGTGTAGTACTTTGTTGTGAGCAGACAAAATATAGGAATTCAATAATATTCAACTTATTTATTATGATCAATTCATTGGTCTATATCTTCATTTAGTTACTTAGACCTTATAGTGGTTTTATGAAACCTTATAACAGATTTATTTTATTAAATTTGTAGCCAGTTTAGTTAAATAAATGAATGTGGTAAGTTTGATTTTTCTCATTACGTGTTTTTCTTCTTTAAGTTAATTCCATCTCTTTGCCTTTTATGTTTGTGATTTAAAAAATAATCTGTTTAAAAATATTTACATTTTTTATTCATCTTTTTAGCATACATTTTAATTTCCTTAATTTTTAGCATACATTTTCTACCACCATCTCTTAATTTTTTTGTATCTATTTTATACTAATATCTGAATTTTTCTACTTCTTTGTGTATTTAGTATGATGGAAAGCAGTTTTTCCTAAATAGCATGTATTTCTGATTACCTTTTTCTAATATGTTCATTTTTTGCAAACGGGAACTGTATCAAGTCTAGAAACATGATTTTTAATTTAAATATGTAGTCTAGGAAGTATTAAGGATGGAGGGGTTTCCTTCAAATGTATCCTTATCCCTAATTTAGGTCCTCTTTTATTCCATTAATGTTGTAACATCCAAATACAAACTACTATATAGTCAGTTCCTGATTTATACCAGAATTCTCTTTCAAAGACTTTTGCATCAAGCATTTGTTGTGTATAACAACTGCATGCTCAAACACTGTAGTCACTGTTCTTGTGCATCTTTGTGAAAGGATGGATTTAAATATGTCAGGTGTTACATAATTATCTGCATGCTGGGACTATCTGCAGTGTTCTATGGAGAAATCTAAAACTAGAAGCACACCTCACCTATTGTTTTGTATAGTGATGTAAAAATATCTAGAACTAGGAGATCATTTTCTTATGTAGTGTTTTAAATTCAAATTATTAATTAATATGTTTACAGGTCTAGCAGTTGATAACTTCAGTCAACGCTTGTTCTGGGCTGATTTTGAATTATCAGTAATTGGCAGTATTCGTTTTGATGGCTCTGATTCAGTTATATGCATTGGCAGCAAACAAGGTAAGTATATATTTATATACATGTTTGAGGGTTCTGCTCAGTATCTTACCTGTTCCCAGCAATGCACTCTTCTGGACAGAGAGCTCTAATGTTCCCAAGATCTTTTGGAATCATTCTTTCAGCATTGCAGTCACAGCTCCGAATGTTTGCACCACCATTGAGCCAGTTTGACCTTTACTTTTCACACTCTCTCTAATTCCTACTTAAGGCCTTGGTACTTCTCCAGCTTCTCAGACTCCTTCCTGATTTTGCTGTCATTTGGCACCACTACATCTATGACCATCACTATCTTCTGTCCTGTCTATTATCACAATATCTGTGATAGTATTGATTGGCCAGTACCTACCTATCCATCTCAATCTGGAAGTCCCACAAGATCTTAGCCCTGTTATTCTCAAAGGCCTTCTGTGGAATCTCCCATTTGGACTTGGGAGGGTCTAGCCCAGCGTTTCTCAACGTTTGTGTGACGGCGACCCCCATCACACAAATGCTATGCGCATGCGCGGCGCGGCGCGCAGGGGGGGGGGTGCGCGGCACGCATGCGCAGCACCGCCCCATGCACGGTGCACATGCATGGCGGCCCCCGAGGCGTGGCGCCGCCCCCATGCATGGCGCGCATGCGCGGCGCTGCCCCCAGAGGGGACAAAATGGCGGATCGCTGCCTTTGGCGACCCCCGAAAAGTGGTCGATCGACCCCAAATGGGGTTGCGACCCATAGGTTGAGAACCGCTGGTCTAGCCCATGCATTTCACAGATGTTCCTGTACACAATGGCAGTTACTTGCTTGGATGTTGAATATATGTTGTTCCTGCTTGCATCTTACATCCTGCCACCATGTATCTCTGAGGACTGTCTCACAGGTCTTTCTAGAGGTGCTTAGTGCCTGTTCTTGTGCTGCTATGATCAGTGCTTCAGTGCTGATCATTATCTTCCATTATCTGTTGATGGTACATCCCATACAGAATCTTGTCTTGCCATAATATTTCCTTTGTCTAAACTTCCTTCCATATATGCTGCTGCCTCAGGAATTCTCTCAGCAGCATATCAATAGGTGCCATCTTACTCATGTGGACACTCTGGGTTTTGTTCTGGACAGTAGCTTTGACACTCCTCAGATTCCACCTGCCCATTTTCTGGCTGCTCTACAGTTTCTGAATGTTGGGCTTCAGGTAGAAGTCTCCATACATTATGAGTAGCTTCCAGGTCTTCACATTGGTAGCCTCCATGTCCTTCTTGGGCCAATTCACTATATCAGCAAGGTATCTAATACCTGGCAGGGCATACATGTTGATGATTGATGGTGTGGATCTTGTTCTTTTCACTGAGCTGGTCTTCAGGTCCTTATTTTTTGATGCTATTTAGAAGTTGCTCTCTTCCTTGTCTTTCTGGCTGTCATGTGACTTTGGGATATCAAGGTAGCTGGTCTCTATGTCTGATATGTGACCTGCCGGTAGTTCTACTCCATTGGTATTAATTATCTTTTGTCTCTTTATTACTATCCAGCCATACTTCTCCAATATGAAAGGTATTCCAGGGGCCTCACTGTAGATCCATGTCAGGTGAATCATTGAATCAATGTCACGTTCACTCTTAGCATACAGTTTGATGTCATGCAAGCAGAGGAGGTGACTGATGATATTTCAATTCTTGAACTTGTATCTGTGTCCAGTCCTTGTGATTATCTGGCTCAGGGGGTTCAAGCCTATTTAGAATAGCAGAGGAGACAGTACATTACCTTGGTATATGCCACACTTAATGACCACTTGTGCCAAATGACTTGAATTGATTTCCAGTATTGTCTTTCACAGTTCCAGTGAGTTCTTGAGATAGGTCCTTGATGTCTTGTTGATACTGTATAGTGCCAGGCATTCACAGGTCCATATTTATGACATTGAGTCATAGGATTTCCTGTAGTTAATTCCAACTATCCTTAGATTGTCTAGGCCTTAAGTCTTGGGTGACTGCTCTATCTATGAGCAACTGGTGTTTTGAGTCTCTGGTATTGTTCCCAATGTCCATCTTTGGTACCTGATAGGAACCATATGAGTCCTATAGCTTGGTGGCTTTGGTACCTGATAGGACTTTCCATGTTGTGGGGAGATAGGTTATTGTCCACTATAAAATATAGTGTGATGTGAGGCTCTTTCATAATCAGCTTTATCTTTATCTTGTATTCAGCAGTTTGGATGGGAGTCTGCTCCTAGCAGCTGATTCCTTTGTGCTGCTAATCATTCATGCATTTTTGACAGTAGGTGTGAATAGGTCCAGGCCAGATGCTGTCCAGCAATTCATATTCTTGATTCAATACTAGATGTATAGTAGTATGGTGGAACTAGTTCTTTTTCTGGAATCTTGCTGTGGTCTGCTCTCAATTCCTGCAGACACTTTGCACTAATGTTATGTATCTTTTCTTTCTCCTATATCAATTATGGCAAACCTTTTAAAGACTGAGTGCCCAAAAACTGGCCCTACCCCCGCTCACCCCCTGCTCCGCCCCCACTCTGCCCCACCTTGCCTGCCCACAGGGCCACTCACCGCCTCCAGGGCCTGACGCAGATCATCCAGGCAGCCCAGTGCACCATGGCGGCCAGGCCCTCTGCCCCCCCCCCCGCAGCATCAACTGTGTGTGTTGGAGCGTGAGGGCAGAGTCTTATCTATGCTGCCTGGCTGCCATGTCCTTGGCTGCGCTGCTCCGTGTGGGCCACACTCAGGGGCGATTCTCCTCCAGGGAGACTGCTGGGGAGAAAGGGGTCACGGGTGGAGGCAAGGCTGGGGCAACGGCACGTGTGCCCACAGAGAGGGCTCTGAGTGCCGCCTCTGGCACCCATGCCATAGGTTCGCCACCACTGTCCTATATGTTCTTTCAGTTTTGTTCAGTTTCTACTATTTGTGTCTCTGCTGTTTCTGTATTGTTGCATTGCAGTTGGGATTATGTTTTAGTTGGTTCTTTGGAGAACAAGACATTTATCTTCTTGATCTCTGCTTCTCTAATATATCTCCTTAACCTAGTAGCCAGTGCTCTAAGACCTTGTTTAGCAGTCTCTAGGGCTTCACATGGAAACAGGAGCTAATATTTGTTTTCAGTAGCCAAGTAGTTCCACCAGCTTACTAACTTCTCTCCAAGTTGCCTTGATCTTAGCATCTAACCTCATTTTCTTACCTTGAGGCTGTAATGTATACAATTTATTGGTTTGCGTTACTAAAGATTGTTGTGAGGCTCTTTTGGCATTTTCAGGTATACTATCTGAATATATTTCTCCACTCAGCATTAGTAATCGGTCGTGATGATTTATTGTTTAGCTAGTTTATAAATTTTAAATTTACAAATAAGCAAAATAAATTAAGATAACTGGAGGTTCTTAAGGAAACATTAGACAGCCTTTTGTCCAGAATGGCATAGGGGCTCTTGCCTGAGCAGCGTATTGGACTAGAAGACCTCCTGTTTATCCATGATCTTATGCCTCATATAAACTTATGTGTTTTGTAATATAGGGAGTGGCAATGTCATTCCACTTTTAGGCATTGGCCGCACATATACTTGTTCTTCTGGGTTTCCTTGAGTTCAGGATGTAATGTATAATTAGCCTATCTAGTTGTCAGAACAGCTTTCTCTTCACTATGCTGAAGCTTGGGTCACTGGCTGTTTCTCAGTTTGTGTAGATGTAGGTTTTCTTCCTATGCTTCATATATCACATCTCATTACATCTGCTGTTGTAGTAGCATTCCATCAATTCCAGATCCTTTTGTTTTGTTTATTCATGGTTTGTTCCAATAACCTATTTATTGTCAGATTGTCTTGGTTCCCCAACATCTGATATAGACCTTCTGATACTTCTAGGCATCATCTGAGCCATTATGACTCTCCTAGTTTGTGACTCTCATATCTGAGGTAGGCAGGTGAAGTGTTAAGGAGTCTTTGCCTAAGGACCCCTACTGGTAATGTGTATTCATTTTTCAGTTGAATTGTACAGTTTATATGTTGTATTAAAGCTGGAAAAAAAAACTGAAGTGGTTTATTTTGGTCTGATTTTTTTTACTTCTCAAAAGCCTGGCATTTTAATTGGGGTGTGTAAGTTTTTTTTTATGTCCACTCCATATATATATATATATATATATATATATATATATATATATATATATATATATATATGGAGTCTGTGTGTGTGTCTGTGTCTGTGTGTGCATGTGCATATGCATATCCCCAAGATCTGGTTTTCTCCTAGAGTTTTTTAAAAATTTCCAACCAAATTGAAGTCAATGAATAAAGGGACAAAGGATTACTTTTTATTGTAAGGTTTATAGATTTGGTATTTTTGATGCCTCTGCATATGTATTAGAAAATGATAACAATTAATACCTTTTCTATTTGAATTATTTTAGTTGAGGAAACTTTCTGTAATGTAAAAAGTAATTCAGATTCTCCATGTGTTCTGTTGATAAGAACTTTCTGTTCAGAAGAAAGAAAATATAAATGAATAGAAGTATAAAAGCTTTACCCTTCCTTTTTGTTGCTTTGCACACTAAAAATACTGAATAATGAATGCTATAGTATAATTACATTTGTTTATATGTTGATACAGAAATGTCACATCAAAACTGAAATGTGTATTTCTTTTTACTTATTTAAGGCTTACTACATCCTCATAGAATTGATATTTTTGAGAACTATATATATGGAGCTGGACCTAAAAATGGTGCATTTAGAGTGCAAAAATTTGGCCATGGTACTGTAGAATATTTGAACTTGGAGACTGATAAAACAAAAAGTACCTTGATTTCACATCGCTACAAACAAATACACTGTGAGTATATTTTATTACTTTCAGGAAAAAAATAAAATATTTTATTATTCAAAATAGCGTACAAAGTAAATACTGTATATAACTTACTCACCCCTTCCCGTGCACATAAGACTTTAGGGACTTAGTAAATAAGCTATTTGGGAGAACTTGGGATAGCATTAGGAATAAGATTTTTGGTGATGCCTGAAGTAATCCCTGCCATTTTCTTGGCAAAATCTTTCAGAAATGTTTTGCAATTGCCTCCCTCCTAGGGAGTGACTGTTTCAGGATCACCCATCTGGCTTCATAATTCTCCCAGTTTCTAATCTAAAGTCTTAACCACTACCTGAAACTGTTTCTTGTATTTGAGTTTATGGCTCCCATAACCTATAGGAGATCAAATTGCTTACCACTTCTTGTCTGAAAATCCATTTATGTCTTTGAAAACAGAGGATCAGGATTTGTTTGAAGTTGTTCTCTTTTCTTGTATTAATGAGATTGAGGGACCGGCTCAGGGCTAAATCTAATGTCTATACCAGTGTTTCCCAAACTTGACAATTTTAAGGCATGTGGACTTCAACTCCCAGAATTCCACAGCCAGCATTGCTGGCTGTGGAATTCTGGGAGTTGAAGTCCTCATGCCTTAAAATTGTCAAGTTTGGGAAACACTGGTCTATAATGTAAGGGCCTTGCTTCTTAATTCATTATTTATTTGAAAAATAATCCATATTATGCTTCTTTCTTTTCTCCTTCCAAATAGCTCTCAATCCTTGTCTGCAGTTAACCTGTGAGTTCCTGTGTTTACTCAATCCTTCAGGTGCAGCTTGCATATGTCCAGAAGGAAAGGCAATGTTTAATGGAAAATGCAGTGATTTGAACATATTAGGTGGGCATTGACAGTTGTTTAAGAACTTATTCTTATTTGAAGTAATTGTAGATGAGTAAATAATGCTAAATTCTCTATTTTTATATTTCTTTCAATGTCTGAAATCTAAGTAAATGAATACATTTGAATAAAGTAAAAATGCAAAATGATATTCATTCTGATTAGTACTTGACTTCTAAATTCTTGGCTTTTAAAGTTAAATCTACCTAAAAGTTGTATTCTATGATCTGAAGTTCCCTCTCACTAAGTTTACATATTTTAAATGACAACAGCACCTCTCAATTCTGTTATTTATTTATATACTATAGGTTTGCTCTCCTACAATCAAAAACCTTGAAGCAGCTTACAGGTTACATAAACAAAACATCCATAGCGAGGTTAAAACCAATCAACTGAATCACAACAATGATAACAATAACCACATCAGTTTCCACATATAAATATAAAGACACGAAGTTGGCAAAGAAATAAATATTGCAGTTTACTAATATGACAATTGGGAGTTGCATATCCTGTACATCTGGACATTATCAATTTTGGAAAAATCTACTTTTATTATGATGCTGCTACAACATTTTAATTCAACATCCATGCACCAATCTGCTGTACCAATTACACTAAGATTAGATTTGAATTTAGAAAGAAAACTGGCACAAACAAAACACTTATATTCATAGCTTTAATACTTTAATACTCGAAAGCTTGGGAACTTTCACAGCTCAGCATGCCAGTTCCCCATAACCATTCTTTTTGCCACTAATTCCAATTGAAGTGTTACCTGCATATGTAGAACGTTAATTCAGAGGACCTAGGAGTGACTTCAAAGGAACTATGTGAAGGTTATTGGAGGTTAGTGCTACTTCAGTGCTTCAAGAATGATGTTTTGCTTATACCAATGTGCTGTACTGTATGACTTATTCAGTTGAGTGTATTGCAGAACTCTACTAGTAGCAAGGCCTTGAGCTGAAAAATTCAGCTGAATATGTTGTTCATATGAATTCTGAGCAGCAAACAAGACTGGATGGCTGCAAGGGATCTTGAATCCATTAATGCTCTTCTATGCTAGCAGTTTGTTTATTCTGGCTTTTTAATTTCATTTCCTGGATGAACAATGATAATGATAATCATCTCCTGTCATGACCTTTGTGTTTATATCTTAAGTACAGATGAGACTTGTAAGCTGGCTTGTGAAAATGGAGGTAGATGTGTTATAAATGAAAAAGGTGACCAAAGATGTTATTGTTGGCCAAGTTATTCAGGAGACAGATGTGAAATTAACCATTGTAACAATTATTGTCAGAATGGAGGAACATGCATAGCTTCAGTTCTTGGTAAATATTTTTTTTTTGAATTTTCTCTATTTATATATTTATTTATTGTAGGCAATGGAAAACAGTTATTCTGTAGTTATATCATTACTATTAACCATTAAAATTTCTAGGACTATTATGACTAAAGCATAAAGCACTAAAACCCATATGATTTTGATTTTCTTGTAGAAAAAAATGATAGTGACATGTAGAAAATTTGCTGGGAATGGCTTCCTTGTTTTCCCTGCAGTGTGAGAGTGTAGAAACCTCATGTCCAGTGTCAAGGAGTATATGGCAGATTTGACAGAGGAACTGCATTTCAGGCACTCATTTTTCCTCTTACCAACTATAAACATAAATGAGAAATTTCCAAGGATTTACAATTATTCCTCAAAATTTGCATAGTTCTGATCAATAGATCATTCTAATCTAGCTATCTGTTCCATAATTTATGTTAGATAATTTTACATTATTTTTGCAGATTTTTATTTGATTTAATATTTCTGTGTTCCGTGATGAAAATGTTAGCCTGCTATTAATGCCAAATGAGTCATGAGGGACCAGTATAGCTAATTTTAAAGTCACTCTCACCTAAAGTAACAAATTGAGGTATTGAACTTGAAGAACAATATGGTGTTTCTACATCTCTTCAAATGTGTCTCATAATATTAAACACACATGAAATTGTTTCTTAGAAGCTGATTAACCTGGCATATTCAGCAACTCAGTGCAGACAAAAAAAGCAGAGTGAGATTGTCTAATAAGCTGAATGTGCTCAACAATCATTAAAACATAACATGAGACTGCAGTTCTTTTTAACATATATTTAACTCCAGGATACAGATAACTATGTCAGAACATTAAATGAGAAGAAATGAGGACAGCTATATGATCTCTTATAATGGTAATAGAAAAGATTATTCTTCACAGCAGATTAGTGCTTTTGGAAAGAATTGTAATAAAGAATGAGTGCCTATTAGATAGCAGGATGAGGATCCTCAAAAATGGCTGAGATGTGAAAAACTCTTTGTAAGTCCCATCCACATTTGATGCAACTTTTAATCTTTTAGGTAGAGAACATACTGCAGAGGTTACTACCATAGTCACTACCTGTAGAATAGGGCAAAAGTTGACTGATAAAATATTCCTGTATTGGTAGTTGATTTTGTGTAATGGGTTATGCTCTTAGATTATCTTAAAAGAGAGCTGAAATACATGCCACCCCACTCAGTTTCCCCTTAGTTTACTAAATGATTGTGAGAGTATATTTCATTGATATCCTGTTAACTATATTGGCTGCCCAATAAAGGTTGTAGGATGATTTGGGTATAGTATTTGCACTTAAAGCTGTACTGCATTGGGCACGTAAGGAGGCTAAATAAAACTAACACAATAGTAAGAAGGTTAAATAAATAACAAGGTAACACAAAGGCAGAAAAAAGGATAGAAAAATAGGCATAATTACCCAGAGCAAAGAAGCTAGAAACAAGGCTAACAGCAAAGCACATCCACCAACCAAAAAGAGGGAATTTCAAACAACAGACTTATGGAACAAGTGACTGATACTATTATGGTATGCAATACATGTTCCATGTATGTGCTCATGCCAAAAGAACACCCAAACTATACATGCATTAGGTGCAAATTATGTGAACTACTACAGGAAAAAGTTAGGAACTTAGAGGCAATTCTAGCCAAAACCTAACGAATGAAAGAAAGTTCCACCCAAACTGAACCAAATAACAAACAAATAACTCTCAGAGGATTTGACCCTACTGATAAACCATTGGAGGAAGACAAATGGAGGTATGTCACACACAGAAGGAAACATAATACTCAAAGAAAGAAACGACATACAACAAATAAACCCCTTCTACCAATCCTACCCAACCAGAAGTAGCCCTATTAAAACTGAGCAATCAATTTCTCCCCTTAGATGGAAACACGCAGACTCACAACCCCCTCCCTCAAAGAAGACATGAAGACACCTAGCAAGGAAACAACTTCAAATATCCCGTAAAAAGTCACATCAACAAACACAGCTGAGATAATCAGAAAAGCAAGACTGTAGCTGCCCCCCCCCCAAAAAAAAGAAAGGAGAGTGTTGGTAATAGGAGATTCTATCCTCAAAGGAACAAAACTATCCATCTGCAGATCAAATATAAAATCCAGGGAGATATGTTATCTCCCTGGAGCAAAAATCAAAGATGTGGCTGAGAACCTAACCAGGTTCTAACTAGGCCTACAGATTACTACCCCTTCCTCCTCCACCACATTGGGACGAATGACACAACAAACAACCTGAGTACAATAGTAAGAGATTACAAACAACTAGGCAATAAAGTTAAGAAGCTAGGAGCATAAATAATGTTCTCATCAGTATTCCCAACAAAAGGCCAACACCTTTTGAGGGAATTTTTTTTTTAGAAATAAACCATCGGCTAAAGCAGTGGTGGCGAACCTATGGCACGGGTGCCAGAGGCGGCACTCAGAGCCATCTGTGTGGGCATGTGTGCCATTGCCCCAGTCCTAGGCCTTCAGCTGGGTTTTATAAAACCTTTTCGCTTTAGGCCTCTACCGCTGTGTGCAAAAAAAAAAAGGTTCAATCAATCAGTCAATTTCAACTTCTTGTGGGGAAAAAAAAGATCTTACAAAGTTGGAATTGATTGATTGAACGCCCAGCCAATGGGCCACACCCAGCCAATGGGCCACCCCCCCCGGCACCCAATGATGCATAAGTGGGTTTTGGGTTGCAGTTTAGGCACTCAGTCTCTAAAAGGTTTGCCATCACTGGGCTAAAGGGTTGGTGTCACCAAGAAAACTTTGGTTTCCTGGATCATGAACTGCATTTCCTACGTGAAGGTCTCTTGACAAGTAATGGGCTATACCTTACAAAAAAAAAGGCAAAAATGTACTTGGAAAAAGATTGGCCCAACTCATCAGGAGGGCTTGAAACTAAAACTGAGGGGGAAGGGTGACCAATCTCTAGAACTCTAGAACCCAAAGCCAATCACAAATCCCAAGAAAACAAATCAAACAATGAGGTAGGCAGTGACAAGAAAAAAGAAAAACTCAAACAGCAATCAGAAGATGCAGGAAACATACCCATGGACAGGCATAAAAGTCTTAAATGCTTACTGTATTTTTCCATGTATAAGACGCTATTTTTTCTTGCAAACACCCTGTTCAAAAATCAGGTGCGTGTTATACAAGTGCAGTGTCTTATACACAGAAAAATAATGGTAACATCCGCAGCCCAGGGCATGCCTGTGTGGGTTGCCATGTCTCCTGGTGCAGGTGTCAAGCCCCTAACAGGAGGGGGAGGGGGCAAGATCGTCACTCGGGCGAACTTCTGGATTTGCTGGCTCAGCTGTTCGGTGCTCCACCAAACAGCTGATTGGTACAGAGAAACTGAGATAAAAGAATTGTAAGTTTTAAACTCATTATCTGTACACAAATTTTAATTAGTTGAATAAATTTCACTGGCAAATTGTAGATTTAGTCATTGTTTTCTTATAGTTTACTGTTTTGGGAAATTCCATTGTGGATCTTATGTATAGCTTTAATTAAAATGTGTATATTTTTTTCAGATTTGGTAAAATAATATCTGAACACAGAAAATGTCATCTGTTAATTGAAACATATATATATGGAAAATGTAATTAAAACTCAAAATAATATGAGCTATTTTCAGATAAAACAAATTATTGTAATGGATTTTAAAGAAATTATAAAAAGCAAAATCAAGGGTTTTAATTATATAGTCCTTATTCATTGACTACCTCATGCAGTAGCCAATTACAGTTATAACAATGATGAAAAAGTAAGTTTATGGCCAATCCTTGCAATTATGACCTTTGCAGGTCTCTAACAAACATAATTGCTTTGCTTAACAATCAATTTCCACTCCAAATTATCATTGCTAAATGAGGATTACTAGTAAATGTGTTTAAAATATTTATAGATGTCATGTGATGCCAATTGATTTATCTATATTCTATAACATATCAGTATGAATCAGAAAGTGTACATAAGTAGAGCTACCCTACCACATATTTCATTTTGTCTTGTAGGAAGACCTGCATGCATTTGTACACTGGGGTTTACAGGTCCAAATTGCAATAAAACAGTCTGTGATCATTTTTGTCAGAATGGAGGAACGTGCACTGTTACTGCTGGAAATCAGCCCCACTGTCAATGTCAGCCTAAACATACAGGGGACCGATGTCAAGATTGTAAGTACAGAATAAATGGAGTATAATTAACAAAAATCAGAACTGAATTGCTATTTTTCACTTTTTAAAAGCAATCATTTGACAACATACTGTACTGTACATCCAGAATATATAAAAAAGTGTATAAAAAGTGCTTTTTCATTCTGACACTATCTTATTCTTTGAACTGTACTCCAGGTGTGCTGTGTACCCTTATGAAGAATAAATGAGAATACATATGCACACACAAAAAGTCTTCTTCACCATGAATTCTAATAACTTCTTATTAATGCAGTGCAGACCAAAAATGAGAGAGAGAAGGGAAGGAAGTTTCAAACAATAGAATTATGAATAAATCTAAAAAATCTTCTTCTCTTGCTGTACATTTAAATAATATGTAAGGGGAAAGTGAAGACAAAGCACTTCTTTGAAGTTCAATGGCAGCATTTGTATACCTAAATTTTGATGTCATCTGAGTTATTAATAAGATCATTTATGATTTCTTAAAGTGGCATTAGATACCAGGATAATCAAAATGTTTGTAAAGAATTTATGGACATTTGGTATTTTATTACATTGCTATTATGAATTCTGGGGGCACACAAGAAGTTCTTCAATTTCATAGTGAGTACTCTAAAAGTAATCATATAAATATTCTTGATGGTAATCAGTGACTCATAGCCTATTTCTTAAGAATATAACACAAAAGTATAAAAATATAGACCCCTAGTTTTTCAGATAAAAAACATTTTTTAGATCAGCGGGGTTATTTTTATGCTTTTTGTTAAACTTTAATGGAAAATGTTATGAAAATTATTAGCAAGGAAAAATGTGGGGCATTTTAAAAAACTAAGGATAGAATTACACATAATTTTAAAGCCATTTCAAAAGTTAAGATATGGGATGTAGCATCTGGAAGTAATATATTAGATGGAGCATCTGGAATATATCCCTATTATTATACAGTACTGGAAAAAAATAAAATATGTTTCACTGACATTGTTCTCATCTAACATGTTACAGTTCCATTTTCAGTAATACAGTTTGGAGAGGTTGCAGTATTCTTATATATCCACGTTTGTATATGTATACATGCATGTCTGTATGCATGCACAGGTTTATATATAACGAGCCTGAGACAAATTTTAACATGAACAGAAATATAAGGCTTAGCTTTTTTCTTCACAGAAAATGTGGGTGTATTTAGATCATTTAGGAAGAGGAAGTTCAATCACTCTCCCCCCCTCCCCCCGGTTATTTTAGTGAAGCCAAGATTCTAGAACAGTGGTTCTCAACCTTTTTAATGCCGTGACCCCCAACCGGTCTTAAGTCTAGGACTACTCAACCGGTCGTGAGTCGAGGACTACTCAATTGGTGCAGCACCGTTTGCAGAATGGGACTTTTGGTGGGCTCAGCAGGGCAGAGACAGCCTGGACAATTCCTATTGGCTTTTGAAAGCCAATAGAATTAGACTCTATTCAAGAGAGTCTATTCTATTGGCTTTCAAAAGCCAACAGAATAAAAGGGAGTAGCACAGCTAAGGAAAAGGGGGAAAAAATGGCAGACTGCGTTGTTTGGCGACCCCCGTGAAATGGTCGTTTGACCCCAAATGGGGTCCCGACCCACAGGTTGAGAACCACTGCACTAGAATAACTCAGTCAGTTTCCACTTGTCTGCTTTCTTCAGCCTTCTAAATACAATTATAGCACCTACTTGCAATTTTTCTTAAAGCCTTAGTCTCTGTAGAGCCTTATCATAGAATTACAGAACATTAGAAGCCAAGACATCTAACATTTAGGTTTTTACTGTCAGGTTCTATAGTTGCTACACCAGTCCCTGGTGCTACAAGTACAAGTGTTCAAACTTAATTTTGATTTTTCTGTGGCAAATATGAATCTCACCACCATGCAAGAATGTGACAAAGTTGATTTTCTGAAGGGATATAATTTAGTCTGAGTGGATCCCAGTTGTTGCTATCAATTGTTCAATTGCTAGATATTTTCACTTGATATATTCTCAAGTTTCAATACAATAAAATATAAACACTGTAGCTCAGGGCTGAACCGTGGAACTGTCTGAACTTGGTTATGTAGGTAACATCATCAGGTAATAAAACATCTGCAAGTAAACAACCAAACTGAGCACTAAGAATTTTATAAACTAAAAACCCTCAAAATGTTTATTCATTTATATATAAAATAAAATCCTGTTCTATATTTGATAGTTGATATATTTATAAGAGCCACGATGCATTTGCTTTTCTTTTTCAGCACCAGGTTAGTACCAAATTCAAGAATTGTCTTATATCTGGTATTGTACTTTTAAACAGCCAACTATTTGATATGAAAAATTGACATGTCATCACGGAAATTACTACTTATTAATATAATAAAATTTGAGTATATAGAAAACCCTGTAAAAAGTATTATATTATCATATTGCTTTTAATAATGAGACCAACAAGAAAAATTATCTGCATTGTGCACATTTAGTTTTATTGAAATCAACTGATCATCCTTCCATTTGGGAAATTATTAAATGTAATTTGGATATCTGAAAAACAGAGTATCCTTCATTGTTGGCGATTCTGTTAAATAAGCAACATGGATCCTAATATCAGCTGCTTGGAATTCTGAAAATAATAGATCACATAAATCATGCATAAATGGACATACAGATTAAGAGAAAAATATATTTACCTGAAACTTACCTAAAAACAAATTGTTTCAGTCTCTGCAAACAGAGGCAGAAAGAAATTCATTCATTCAAATGTAAAAGTAAAGGTGCAAAGTTATTTATTGTGTTATATACTATTGTGATACTTTTCAAATCTAAAAATATTATCTAAAATAATGAAATATATTAGATAACCCAATTCTATTAATGAACTAATATGAAAAAGGGATGATAGTTATTTAGATTTTATAAAAATGGGAGAAATGTCTCCTCTGATAGACAATATTAGAAAAGTACAGGATCATTACTTTGCAGTTGCAAACTCTTAACATGTATATAGGTAGTCCTTGACTTACGACTTCAATAGAGTCCAAAATTTCCATTGCTAAGCGAGGCAGTTGCAGTTATTAAGTGAGTTGTGTCTCATTTTACAACCTTTTTGCTACGGTTATTCAGTAAATCATTGCAGTTTTTAAGTGAATCATGCAGCCAATAAGCAAATCTGGTTTCCTCCATTGACTTTGCTTGTCACAAGCAGGCGGGAAGGTTACAGATGGTGATCACATGACCCCAGGACAGTGCAACTGTCATAAATACATGCCAGTTGCCAAGCACCTGAATTTTGATTATGTGATCCATGGGAATGCTGCAACTGTTATAAGGGTGAAATTGATCATAAGTCACTTTTTTCAGTGCTGTTGTAACTTCAAATGGTCACTAAATGAATAGTTGTAAGAAAAGAACTAATTGTATTGTGTAATAAGAAATGTGCTTTAAAGGCATAATTTATGTTGTGATATTGCAATATTGTCCTATGAAAGGGCTATAATGGTGACAGAATAAAGACATGTTCTCATTTTGAGAAAACTGCAGTTGTAACACATGTTCTGAGCCACTACAGAACTGCATTGCCAAACTGGGAGGATCTATTCATTTTTTTTCTTAGATTTCCAAGAGTGGTTCGTTAATGCCTGTTAAAAATATTTTGTTTCAGGGGTTTTTGTTTGTTCATTTCCTTTTTGTTTTATTTTGTAATTGTGAAACAAGAATTGTGTTGGCATCAGATATTCATTTTGTATGTTCCACATGCGTTAGATCAGATATCATTCTTGGATAGCTGGGGAAGGGGAAAAAATAATGGCAAATATTAAAAAAAAAAATCCATAAAGGAACTTCCTTGTGATTTGAGAAAAGGGACTTTTAAAAAATGTTTGAGAAATTTTTGTCTCATTTTGAACATTTTTAAATAGATCTATTAGATTATACCTTTGAAATCAATAAATATAAATGTGTACATGTGTACAGTTCAGCTATATATGTGTCCTATAAAGAAAAACTATTTTATTGCTTGATAAGTTATTAAAATAGCTATTGATTCAATCAATTTATAAATATGCTTATTAATATGATTTTAAGAAGATAACTTTATTACATCTTATGGATGTATATGTGTGTATTCATTGCAGATATTTGCCACCATTATTGTGTTAATTCTGAATCTTGCATCATTGCTGATGATGGCAATGTAGAATGTTTCTGTCCTCTACAATATGAAGGCACAAAATGTGAAACAGACAAATGTGTAAAATGTCATGGAGGTCAGTGCATCATAGACAAGAAAAACGATGACATAATGTGCAAGTAAGTTAAAGTTGGGATAAATCATGTAATTGAATAGCCAGAAATGTATAGTTTCCATATATCTGTAAATATTGGGTAAGCCAATATTATTGTTGATAGATCAAGACTTTGCATTGTCTGCAACTACATTAAACTGAGCAGATATGAATTAGAATGAGATGATTTTAAAATATATAAAATGAACTATTATTCAATCTTGTATAGAAATGAAAATTAGGCTACTTTGTAAGAAATATGGTAAAAAAGAGAAAATTTTATATATCCATTAATCAAAAATCTATTACATATCTATAATTAATTCAGTAGATTTAATGAAATAAGAATAGTATGCCTTAATGTACAATTTGCAGTAGCCATTTGTGCTATTGTAAAATATGTGCATAGACATTATTGTGGGAAAATATTTTAATTATACATTATCCATATTGTAAATGTCCCATAATAATTAATTTGTAAATAAAAATATTTATCTTTTGCCTTTCATGAAAAATTAATTAAAATCTGTATATGCCAGTTTTATTTCAATGGAAAACTAAAAGGGTAGAGAAAATCAAAATGTAATTCCAAACACACGTATATACAAGAGCACTATGCAGTGCACTTTGCTCCTTGAAATTGTTGTGAAATCTACCAGGAATAAATTTTAATATCATTTTTAGAAAATTCATGTTAATATCAGATTTATTTCAATAAAACTGATAAGCCTGATATTACTTTCAATTTTAGAATTGTTGCCTCTTATTAGCTATTGTAGAGCATATGAAGATCACATCTGCTGTATAGTATATTTTTCATTATTTTTTCTGTTTTCTCTTCTTTTATGAACAAGAATAAAATACAAGACAGAAAAATAGAAAAACAAACATCCAACACTAATAACAAGAAAAAATATATTCTTATGTACAAAAAAACCTCAAATGCCAAATATTATCATTAAACATAAACATTGACATTAAACATAAACATAAAAACATTAAATATAAAAAATCCACCCTGGCTGGATTCTGAAAATAAAAGATAAAAAAACCTCCCCTTACATCATGGTCTACAAATAGTTGTAACCTTATTTAACAAAACTACTTTATTAAATAAATATTTCAGATGAGGAAGTCTCTGTCTAATAATCAAGTCAACCAAATCTAACTACAACATATATGTAAAAAAGGGAAAAAAGTCAATAGGTTAGCTCAACTATTACACTAATTTTCAAATCCCTCTGTTAACCATCTGTTATTGTATTTAACACATAGAAAGTCTCCACACGGCTTCCAGTCTCTTATAAAGTTATCTAGTCCAGGGGTTCCCAATCCCTAGTCTGAGGCCCAGTGCCAGACCAGTGCAGTGACTACTGCAACGCGCTCTACATGGGGCTACCCTTGAAAAGTATTCGGAGACTACAGTTGGTCCAGAATGCAGCCGCTCGAGTGATAGTGGGTGCTCCTCAATACACCCATGTTACACCTATCCTCCGTGAGCTGCACTGGTTGCCTATTGGTCTCCGGGTCCAATTCAAGGTGTTGGTTATTACCTTTAAAGCCCTATATGGCTCAGGGCCAGGCTATTTGCGAGACCGCCTACTACCTCATAGTTCCCTTCGTCCGGTTAGATCCCACAGGCTGGGCCTCCTTTAGGTCCCGTCTGCCAAGCAGTGCCATTTGGCGGGGCCACGGAGGAGGGCTTTCTCTGTGATGGCACCCACCTCTTGGAACCAGCTCCCCCCGGAGATTAGGACCGCTCCCACCCTGTTGGTTTTCCGTAAGCTGCTTAAGACCTGGCTTTTCCGGCAGGCCTGGGGTTTATAAAATCTGACCCCTGGATGACTGTTCTTGTACTGTTTGTTTTGTTATGTTTTATGTGTTTTATTGTTAGCTGCCCAGAGTCCTCCCGGAGTGGGGTGGCTTATAAATTTTAAAAATAAATAAATAACTCATTCAGAACCGGGCCACAGAAGTGGTGGGTGAGCACACGCATGCACACACATGTGTAAAGCTGCATTTGTGAAAGTGGCTCATGCACGTGAAACCATTTCCTTTCCCCAATACCACAACCTCATCACAATAGTCAACAGTTGGCATCAATTTTCATTTCCAATGCTTAGCAAGTATAATCCTTGCAGCAGTCACCATGTAAAGAAACAGTGTTTCAAACTGTTTTTCAATTGGTTTGTGCATAGTACCTAAAAGAAAAGCTTCAGGTTTAATTCATATTTATATTTTAAATATTTTCTGCATTATCATTATTATGCTTATCCAGTATGTTTTAACATGTTTATAAGACTACCACATACGATAAAATGTACCTGGATTTTGATTACATTTTCAACACTTGTTAGAAATCCCTCTATATATTTTTACTTGCCTCTCTGGGATCAAATACCAATGATACATCATTTTATAAAAATATTCTTTCAGACTATAATTCCAAGTAAATTTTAAACTATTAATCCATACATTCTCCATTTAGCTAACATTATATTATACCCAAAATAATTTGTCCATTTTACCGTACAATCTTTGACATATTCATCTTCCAAATTCACCTTAAGTAACATTTTATATACTTTAGCAATCAAGTGGTCATCTCCAGAACTTGATATCCAATTCAGATTTAATTCCTGCAAAAGAAAAACTTTTTATTAAGTTTAAATCTTTCAAAAAATCTATAATAATTACACCAATCACAAACAAATCCTTCACTTAGTAGTTGTTCTCTTGTTATCTTAAGTCCCCCTTTTTCAAATACCAATACATCTTGATATGTCATCTATTTACATTCTAATAACATCTCTTTTCTATGTAGTGCTTCATGGGATAATACCCAAAGTAGCACTTTGTCAGCCAATTTTCTTTTATATTTCCACCATACATGCCTAACTGATTGCCTAATAATATGATTATTAAAACCAAGGTTAACTTTTACTTTGTCGTATCACAAGTAAGCATACAACCCAAATCTCAAGTCAGAACCTTCAAGATCTAACAACTTTTAAGTTTTTCAAAGTTATCCAATCTTTCAAACATGCCAAACAACAAGCATCATAATATAATCTAACCCAGACCTCCTCTTTCTTTAGCATCCTGCAAAAACTTATATTTAAATCTTTTTTATTTTGCCAAATAAATTTAGATACTATATCTTTCTGCCACTTTTTAAAAAAAGAATATTTAATATATTGGTATAGTCTGGTAACATTCTAGGTAATATATTCATTTTAATTACTGAAATCCTTCCTATCAATGCAGATCTAGTTTTTCCCATCTGTTTAAATAAACTTTATCTCCTTCCATATTTTAACATAATTATCTTTATATAACTTAGAATTTTCATCACTAAGAATCAGCCCCAAGTACTGTACCATTTTCACAATTTTAAAACCAGTTTTAATTTCCAATATCTTCAGATCTTCCACATTCAAATTCTTGGTCAATATTGTCATTATTTATTTATTTATTTATTTTTAAGTCCTCCATTTCTCCAAATATTTTAATCTTCCTCACATCATATTCAATATTCTCTAGCAGGTCAATTATTTTCGTTACTTCTGTGTTATTAAACTATCAGTGGGGCATGGCAACAGTAGGGAGAGAACAAAGAAACAAAGATGGAAATCATTCATATTTCTACTCCCTTGACAATAATATTATTAGTGAGATAAATATCTTGTGTTATATAAATACACATGCTTTTAAGTTGTCAAGTTATTAACAGTAAGTAAAGCTATTGTTTCTGGTCACTAGTACTGAAAAACGAAATTGTCAACATCTATTATAACAACTGCTCCCTAAGTCAAAGCCTCTGATCTTGCTGCATAATTAGTTGAGCATAGCAAACATATAACTGAACTCTCTTTGTTCAATATAACAAATATACAACTGATTGAGTAACCATGCTAAGTTAAGCTAAGCAGCCTGTAATAGCTTTCTTCATTAACCATGGAAAGTAATTTAATATGCTATTAAAAAAATAGAATGACTGAAGCACCCCATTCATCAGTAGTGGCATAGTTAACAATGACATGTTTTCCTCCCACAAATCATAGCTGCACAAATGGAAAAATTGCATCCAGCTGCCAATTATGTGATGGCTATTGCTACAATGGTGCGACTTGCCAATTGGATATAGAGACAAATATACCTGTCTGTCTGTGAGTATCATGAAATAATTTGGACATCTTTATATCCATGATTCCTAATGCCACATCGCCAATATAATTTCTTCTTTCAGAGTTGGATCATAATAATAATAATAAAGTTGGAAGGGACCTTGGAGGTCATCTAGTCCAACTCCCTGCTCAGGCAGGAAACCCTATACCATTTCAGACAAATGGCTGTCCAGTCTCTCTGATGCTGTGATAATGAAATTTTGCTTCAGGTTTGGTTTTGGTTTTGACAGTTGTCAATGGCAAGGATAGGAGAGTGACACCCTTAACTACATGATACTATTTTTATGTTATCTATTTTGATTATTACATATTATATACTTAGAGATGTAGGCATATTTATTTGTTGTTCAAATATAAATATATATTTTATGAATATGCTTATGAATAACATTTGCAAGATTGCAGAAATAGTACTGTACTAATGAAGCCTTTAAAACCCAAATTTTAAAATTAATTCTTAAATCATAGTTGTCCATATGATGTGACTTTTTGATATGTACTCTTTAAACATATATTGCAATTGTGTTATTATGGTAATTATAAAAGTACATTTCATTCTTGTAAAAGGTTCTGTATGAAATAAGTATAAAATGAGCATCCTAATTTTAATGTATGTGAAACATTTCAATGTCATTGTCCTTAGAGTGCTCATTAAAATAATCCATAATTGTTCTGTTATAAGAAAAGATTGTCAGATATTTGGATGTAATGATATTCTTCCAAATTCATCATTGCTGGATGATGAATAAACAAATGTGTTTATTACAAATTATTCAAGAATTAAGGACTGCAACATGTGCTTCCATGAGAACAGATTATATTTGCCTTCATTGGGCAGGATCATAATTCTAATATGGGTGCAGTGACTGCATGTGGAATTATTAGCTTCCCTTCTTTGTCTTGGATAATAACCTGATAAATTGGGGCACTATTAAGTATAGAATGTCAGTGTACTCAATTGGTCAGAAACCTGAATCAATTCAGAATTTAGGTAACATTCAGCCATGGGTGTTTGAAGGCTAGAGATAGTCCTTAATCTCTCCTGGCCAGCAATTATCAGGCACTGCAAAGCACCTGCTTGCTGTCTGCCATAATAGAAGAGGGATCAACTTGGTTCTGTTGAGTCCTGTGCCAGTTCTCTGTTTCCCAAGCTATCAGTAAGATTTAATGAACACTAATAGTGTAGACTTACCATGATGAGTGGAGCATATTTGCTTATTGTTCTTTTTATCAGCTATGTATTTGCATTTAAAAGATATTCAGCAAAAAAAGGTAGAATATTTATTTATTTAGCTGTATTTTACTAAAATTCTGCAGATGCTCTGTGGGGTTTAAAAATCAGCGCTGTGACCAGAAAGTGAACCCTTGTGATTACTACTGTCAGAATGAGGGAATTTGCACTTTAACTGCGTTTAATGAACCGAGATGCAAGTAGGTTTAACCTTCCACTTAATGCTGCACATTTTGTGATATCATTTCAGGCCACAGTTCATTGGTTCAGATCATGTACATCCATATCATCTCGCAACTTTTTCTTAATCTCAGGATTCATTTGTGTAATAAAATGTAGTTGTTTGAAATCTTGCTAATGACTATATTAAAAGATACAACATTGGATGTAACATCGTCTTATTATTAAGACAAAAATATTATACTAGTATATAATGAAAGGATATGACATCAGGACCTTTAGAAAATAACCCTGTCTTTAAATAGAACAATGTTTATAGAAAAGGCAAATTATATACAAATTCATCATACACCATTCTAAAACCAAACACTCTAATTCTAAAATATGCTAGTTAATAAAACAAGTAGACAATTTGTCAGCTGTTGAAGTGATAAATATCTTTTTGAATGTAATAAGAAAATAATTTTAAAAAGCAATTACCACAATAACAGCAAGTTAGCAGAGCTTTCTTAATCTTTTCATTATCTAGAATTTATTTACCATTGTATGTGTGTTTCAGGAAGAAATAGGTTTCCTATATATCAGTGTTCCTCAGGAAATAAAACTACATTCATCTTGATTAATTTTCCATTTTTTTTATAAATCATAACTTCAGGTTGGTTGAATAAAATTCATACTTAGTTTTTTCTAACAGAACATAATCAAATACAGAATTCACATTCTACTGAATTTAAGTTTACTTAACTATAAGCTTTTAGACAATAAATATAAATGAGAGATGATTCCAAGTTCATGACATCAAAATTAGTCCTGTACTGGGCTCCAGACCACATGTCTAACTGAAAGCTAACCTCCATGCAGTTTGTTTCATTGCTATCAGCATGAAAATTTACATTTGCTTATGCCAATCCATTTTCTTGCTATCTTTAAAATGTGGCAGATACTATATGAAAAAACTGCCACACAGAATTATATCCCATGTAATGGGAATTGATCCATTATTAGTTTTCAAATACATCATTACTTCTAGCAACAGATGTTCTGCAACTTCTAGATGTTCACTTTTTCTGGTCTTCCTTCTATATTTCCTAACTTTTCTATTTTTCTATTCTTAACCATTCTGTTGTTCTTCTTTTCTTCTTAGCTTTGCATACTGTCAATTAACGAAAAAATAGAGAATATATTTTAAGATTTAAAGTTGAAATTATACAAAGTAGTTTTTAAGGTCTGAGTAAGCAATGCAAACTATAATACAAGCTGTATTACATTTAATACAAATATTATTTTTCATAAGAGAATAATAAAATATGAGCTCTAACTAATCTTACTGTTATGATTCTATGAATATAGTCCATCATTATATGTATACCAAAATGTAAATCAGAATTTTTCAGTGTACATGTGTTCTGTTTTATTTGTTTGTTGTTGTTGTAGCTGCCAGCTAGAAGCAGCACAAAAATAATCCTTTCTGAATTTCCATTATTATATTATACAAAAATGGAAATAATAGTATAAAATGTTGTACTTTCTTTTTTATCATTTATTTACTTATTCATTATTATCTTACTTTTCTACCATTAAAACAATTCAAAATGGGATAAGATATACTTTAAAAACAATTTTAAGCAATATATTCAACTATATATTCAGTAGAATTGAAAATATGGTATCATCACCCAAGGTTTGATAAAATATATTTGTGATTGATGCTGTGAAACTTAGAATTGAACTGTAATTTTATATATCTGCAATATAAGATTACACTAGTTAATCATTTTATTTATATTTTATGATTATGATTTCTAGCATATAGAGAATTTTCTATGTTCAGAGGTAATACAAATATTCAAGATACAACCAGAGGAAGATTTTGTACTATTTGTTGTTTAACAGTACAAACAATTTGATTGAAAGAGAATGTAAAACAGCAATCCAATCCCTCCCCAATTTTATTGAAATTACAGTACTGATAAAATACACATCAGAAATAATTTAATTTCCTTAGGCTAAAGCTTCCAGTTATGATTTACTGCTTCTAATTGTATACAAATGCAAACAAGGCTTTTCCACCTTCTGGTAAGACACGATTTCATAAATACAATTGAGAACATTTTTAACTCCAATTCTAGGCATGCAGATATATGCATTTTTTATCCTACCTATCATTCATAATTGTATTACAAATTTTCAGATACTAGTTGCAAGATTTTCTGCTTTTCTAGTTAAATCAGATAAAGTGATTGATAGTCTTGTTCTAACTAGTAACCATTTGACAAGTCAGACTTTTCTTCAACCTCTTTGAGTATTCTCTGCAATCAGTCAATAAAATCTTGATTGTGTCTTCTTCTTTTGTACTGATCCCTTGAATCACATCCTTAGGTACTTTATGGACTTTGGGCCATTCACAAACTAAGCCTTCTAAGATCATTAGCCAAACTAACAGTTTCATGTTAGCCATTTAAGTTGCCGGTCATTTCCAATTTTTTCCCCAGTCTTTTCATGTTTCTCTAAAAATCCTCCTTTGCCTTTCTGTATCTCCTTTCCTTTCCTCTCCTCTCCTCTCCTCCCTGTGTTCAAGAGGCCTCAATGATTCTCAGAGAGCTAATGACCCACCTTCAAAGTGCTAACAACCAGATGACTGCAAGGAATATATATTCTTTCATTCCCTAGCATTCAGTGAGAACTGAGAATGCTTCTTAAATAAAAAGCAAAACATGTTCAAGAAAAAGCAAAGAAAGTTCAGTTGCCTGTTGAAAAGCACCTTTGGAACAACCATGACTTGGATGACTAAGCATGTCCACAGACATATAAGAACAGAGCTGAAATCCTGATGGTTTCAATTCCTGCAGCACCAAGCAGAATTTCCTCTCCATGCACAATGTGGAGCAGAAATTCTTTGGTAGACTGCAGGAATATTTAAATGTCAAAGGCCTGCCTACTGGAGGATTTCATCAGGAAGCTCTTGTACTAATGACCTAAGAGATCATTTAACAACCACAACCAAGAGTCCTAGAATTGCAGTTGTTGAATAAAGCAGTAACTTGATCAATGACTAAGATTTTGGTCCCAATGATGGTAATTAAATGAGGGCTACCTGTAGATATGCAGGGAGCCAATTAGAGGCCATGGTGGAGTGCAGGCTTATTACATGAATGCCATGGGAGGGGGGATTTATCATTTTATATTTCTAGAAGCATGCAGCTAAATATAGATTAATAGAATTGTGTCACTTCTGAAATAAGTCTGTTCTCATTTAATATGATTACATGAGTTTATTACTGTGCCTCATATTTTTTCTGTGTTTTTTTTCTTTATAGGATATGTAGAATAGTAATTTCTACTTACATTCATTATTAAACTATATAGTTTCATAATTTGACTTTATCTAGATATCTGCATGCCTAAGATAGTTCAGTAAATACAGAATCTTAATATGTCCTTTTCTCTTTTCCTTATAACATGATCATCCTAATCAGCCAGCTCATTTCATCAAGTTCTATGCCATTTCATGCTAAAGTAATCAACTTTACTAATGTGAAAAAGATAAAGAATAAGTAAGGATTAGCTAACCAATATAAATATATATATAATGTATTTTACCACACAATCCTATATATGTCAATCTGTGAATTATCCCAGTTAATTTAATACAATTTATTTCCATATAAGCTTATATAAAATGCAGCTTATTCATGAATAATGCAACTATAAAATATGTCTTTAATAAATGCATTGTTTTCAATGGGAAGAAAACCATCCCTTGAATCATCCTAGACCACATTTCTGTACATCAATGGTAAACCAATGTCCACAACATTTCTTGTATATACCCCAAATCACCAATACACTAATTCCTTTTGGATAGAAATATCCACCTGGTCCTAATTCTTCTGTAACCCATGAATGAAGAGGCAAGATTCAAGTTTTAATTTGCATTTTAATGAAGACTTAACTAGTTCATATCTGTGCAAGAATACAAATGTAGTTATGTGCCGAATACTCATGCTTTTTCTATTTTTATGATGCAGTTTGCATTTCAACCAAACTCTTTTATAGTATGTTTATTGTGGAAGAACTATTGCATGAAAGGCAGAATGGGGAATTTGCTTCTGTCAGCTCCTTTGTATGTACCTGATTTATTACATCGTTTGAGAATAGTAAATTAGCTCACATTGTAATTTGACATGTATTAATTTATTAAACGTATATCTGTGCTACTACAATGAGACTGTGCAGCTTAACTTTTAGACGTATAGACAAAATTTTGTGTAAACATAAAGATGAGATTTTAAGATAATACCGATATATACTAATTATGTAAAATATAGAGATTTATTTTAATTTTGTGCTTGAATTTATTAAATAATTATTTACAATCTTTATATTTGTAAGTAACCTACATTTAGGTTTCCTACAAAATGTGGTTGAGAGCTATAGAATATGGCTTGTAAGGCCTTCTCTTCTATCTCTACTATGTTCTGCATGGGGTTTGAGGACCATCCAGAAGCTGCAACTGGTTCAGGATGCAGTGGGACATGTAATTCTGGATGTAGCACAGTTCACCTTGAGAAATAGTTTCTTATCTTTGCCTTTTTAAATTTATGATGGATTCTCAAGAACAGACTTTGGTTTATTAGTCATCACTCTATTTAAGTATTGTAACATGGGGACTAAACATCAGTATTTTGTAGATTAGATATCTTTTCATGCTCTTACCAAGTTAGTAATATGGGCTGATTGATTGGTTATATGTCGTCAAGTCATTGTCACCTTTTAGTGGCTACATAAATAAAGTTTCTCCATGATAATCTTGGTCTTTCATGTTTTCCAAAACTGCATTCATTGCCGTTGTAACTGAATCCATTCACCTTGCTGCTGGTTGTCATCCTCTTCTCTTTTCTTCCACTTCCCCCAGCTTTAGAACATTCTCAAGAGAGCTAGGTCTTCACATAATGTAGAATAATTTGAACCTGCTCCTGGTCATTTGTGTCTGTAGTGAGAACTATGGGTGGCTTTGTTTAATATATAATATATAGTTTATTTTTAATATTATCTTTCAATAATAATTTGTATTTTTAAAACAATATAATATAGATAGATAGATATTCAGACAGACAGAGAGACAGACATTTTGCCAACTGATAAAAAGGTAAAATCTCCCTTAAGTCAATTAAATTCCTAGTCATTACATGGAATATCCATGCTGTTTTCTAGATAGCAATAGAGAAAAAAAGTCTGCTATTACTATCTTCTGGTGTTGCTATTGTTGTTTTCAATTTCCCCATTTTGGGATTTTCTAATTGCCTCCTATATAAGTAATAATCAAGCCTGATCCCACTTCACATTTCAAGATCACCCAGATCAGCTGTGTATTGCCAACTGATATACTATAACTGAAATAAAGACTTTGCAGTTTAAATATGTTGAGATAGTTGGATTTTATTTGGCAACATGCCTGCTATAAGATATGCTCAGGGCTTTTTTTCTCATAGAACACCCAGAACGGAGTTCCGGCACCTTTTTTGGATGGAACCTTGTAGGGTAGGCAAGACAGGGTGTATGACATGTGTGAGTTCCAGCACCTTTTTTTTTTTTTAGGAAAAAAGCACTGGATATGCTTAATATATTATGTTAGAGATAACTTTTTGAACAAACAAAAATGAATTCAGGTTCTTAACATGTTTTAATGCTTAATTGATTGGCATTGTTTACAGCAGGGGTGTCAAATTGCCGGCCTGCAGGCCAGATGTGTCATGCCAAAACCACATCCACCCCAACTTCAACAATGGAGAAAAAGTGACGATATATCACAACACGTCACGTGACATTGCAAGTTTGACACCCCTGGTTTACAGTATGCTGAGAAAAGGCTAGCTGTCTAGAACATTAGATTTTATAATGCATCATTACAACTAAAACAAGTTACCTTGAGAAAATGCATTAATCAATTAGTTCATTTAATTGTATTAAAGCAAAAGTAAATTTAATAGTGTTAGAGCAAAAGTAATGACCGTGTTGTAGATTTTGTTTTCCTTCCTAAACTGAACAAGGAATAAAATTAATATGTTAATGATGATAAAAACCACAGATAGATACAATCATACTATATAGTAATTAGCAATGACAATTTTTACAAAAAGCTACATAGTGATCACCTTTTATTATCTTATTAAGAAAAACTAGCTTATCTTTGAAAAGATAATATGGTCATGTTAAAAAGAATTACTTTTTTAATGCCATTCTTTGAGACTATAGCAAGCAGATGGCAAGCTTGTCTAATAGGGGTAGTTCTATTCTTCCATACTGTGAAGTTAATACAACCTTATTTTTGTAATAAAAATATTTTCATATATTCATTAGTCGCACCTGCCAATGTGTTTATTATCATGTGAATGTTTCTCTCTTTCTGTATACATACATACATACATACATACATACATATGTATGTACATGCATACACACAAACACACACACATATATGCCATAATAAATGTTCCTCCAGTCCAGAATCTAGGAAAAAAATCTTATTGAGTATGACATTTCTTATGAGAATATTCTTTTGGCAAATACACATAACAATGTAAGCAGTCACTCTGAGCATATTTTTCATTTATTTTGATAGTTGTTTCATAGCCTGTAAATCCTTTCCCTCCCCTCTCACAAGTACTTTTAGTTTCCCCCCCACATACTTTCTGCCATTAAGGCAGATTGTTTTTTCCTGTAAAATAATTTGAGATATTCTCTTGTCATTGAAGATAAGAGTGTTATTAAACAAAGTTGTTCAATGACATTATTTTGTTGTTGTTTTGTTTTGCATAAAATGAACCTTCTACTTAAAGGTTATGTATTACATTTCATACTATATAAAAATCTTAGAAGAAAATCTGGGTAAAATGAGTTTTAATTTACATGTGTATTTAAACTGGAAAAATTATATGAAGGTTCTTCTCCTTTGTATACATAACATGTTAGAAAGGACATTTTTTTCTAGAGTTCTATAATAGTCTTAAAGAATTAATGTTCAAAATTGTGGTGTTTCATGCATATTTTAAATGAAAAATTAATTATAGATGTCAGTAGGTGTCAACTCTTAGCAACCATAAATTTTCTCCATAAAAGTGAGAAAATGTATATCACTAATTATATTGTATATTATTTCTTACATAACAATAGTGACCTATTTGAAGATTTAAAAAAAATAATAATAGCAATCAAATTTTATCTCAAAGATTATGAATTAAACTTAAAGGAATTAGATTGTATTTGAAGTTTTAGAATGAACCTGAATAATTGTGACGCATCAGCACAACATTTCTATCATCTCATTAGGAATATAGGAAATTGCTTTCAACCAGTCCAATTATTTGTGATTATCCCTCACTCCTGATGACTTAATCCTTTTAACAGTGTTAAACAATGCATGCAAAGGCAATAGTTTGCCACTCAATTAACTGAAGACATTTCAGACCTTTATTTGCATGGGTTATAATTAATGGGAATGAAGACAAACAAAAAGATTTGAAGAAAGAAGTTATTTAATGGTAATGCTAGATATGTTTCTCAGTAAGCATCATTTTAAAAAAGCAAAGAGGGGGTACAGATTGTAAGCAGGTGCTGCTTTACAGCCTTTAATAAAATAATATATTAAAAATAAATGATAGGTCACCCGTCTTGGAGACGCCTGATATTTACCTAGATCAACAGGAGACAACCTTCTTAAGATGAAAGCTTGGCTTATCGGGTACCCAGAGATAATCTCGGGGGAGGGGGAACCCTATGATGAAACGACTGCAAAAACAAAAGCATGTTATAAGCCCAGAAAAAAAAGAGAAAGCATAAGAAAGACAGGCTATATTCTAATTTACAGGGGTATAAGAGGGAAGGGAGATAAAATACAGTCAGGCTTTCAGGATTTATTACCATAGTCTATGTAAATAAAGTATAGTTCCAATCTAAGTAATGGAGTCTGTTTATTGATCTGGCCTATCTCGAACAGCTGACAACACAAAAGATCCTTCTGTGTGGCTCCCAACCTTTGGAATGCAATCCCCCAGGACATCTGTTTGGCTCTCATTTAGGGAAATGATAACATCACCTCTTTTGCCAAACACGTATTTGCTAACTACTTTAATAATTGATTTCATGTTTAGTTTAGTTGCGTTTTTAATATTTTATACTGCATTTTTTAGTAACTGCAAGCCCTCTTGGTAGAATATAAAGAACAACTGAGTTTAAATGCAACAATAATGAAATTTTAATCAAAGTATTTAATAAATTAAAAACTAGGACTAGGTTATGTTAAATGACACAAGATGTTCATTTCAGGATAGTATGATCAAAATTTGTCATTTAATAAGCCTTTTAATTTTTATTTTCAAATTACAAAAGCAAGACAGAAGTAATTGTTACTATTATAATCCAGACTATAAATAAAATCTGTTTTGATCAACTATTAAATGAAGCTAAATTCATTTTAAATTTGATCATATTATAAAACCCAGATTATTTAGCTAACTCTGATTACTTCTGTTTTGAAATATAGAACCATCTACTAACACTTTATAATGGCTTGTACTTAAATTTTGTTTAATTTTATGGTAATTAATCAGATAATGTTTATTATTTAATGTTATGTCTACAATATATCTGTTTACCATAAAGTGAGTATAATAGTTGATGTTTTTGATCTAAATTAGTGTATTATTTTTATTTATTTTAGATGCCCTACAAACTGGTCAGGTACTCAGTGTGAAAGACCAGCTCCTAAGAGCAGCAAATCTGATAATATCAGCACAAGTAAGTTGTTTTTCATTAATAATACCAGCGTTTTAAGCTATTTTTTAATTGTAGGCAGTATATTTAAAATTGTGGAGCTCGCCGTCTTTACAGTTTCTGCATTTATGCAGAACATATGGGGAGAGAAAAGGAATAAAGGCTCAAAACTCATTTAACAACTGTCTCACTTAGCAACAGAAGTGCTGGGCTCAATTGTGGCTATAAGTTAAGGACTACCTGTAAGTCTTTTGTATAATTTCAGGTATCAAAGGAAAAATATGTTTTCCAATGCATGGGAGTGCTCATGTACTATCTACAGTGTCTTAAACAGATACATCTTTTCTTGGGACAGTACTGCTTATTGGGAAGAGATGTATTTGATTTAAGTAATTGCAAACAGATATTACGTGAGGGTCCCTGTATCCTCAGAAGCACCTTTTTGCCTTTAAATGCAAAGTGCTGCATTGCCTAGTTTATTAACTTTCAAGAGCCAACTGAGAGTTATTTTAGATTATAAATCAAAATACATTCTATTGTATTGTATTGTACTTCAGTTGGGATATTTTATTCTCTATCTATCCTGTGTTAAAACTGATATAGTATCATTACCGCTTCTACTTGGGAGCCTTGTGCTCTGCTATGGCAAACTAATGAAACAGAAATAGAATATTCATTGACAGATTTATTGACAGAGATAGGGTGATGAGAAGATTGTCAGGTATAAACACAATGAATTTGATTTATTTAGCACTTATTGAAATGGGCGTGGCCCATTAAAAATAATAGGTAGGAAAACGATGGCAACAGTACAATAAAGTAATGTAATATATTGAGACCTGATATGTCATACAACTCTTCAGATAGCGTGTAGTATTTAATGCAATTACTGATCTGTTTGTTAAAACGTGATATGAGCTTTACTAATGTTTGTTTGATTATGTATTTCTCAAAGTTAGCTTTCCCAGTTTTAGCTTCATAGTCATCAGAAGTGTTTCAATTATTTCTTGTAGGAAGTATTGCAATCATTGTTCCTCTGGTCCTCTTGGTGACCTTGACTACTACTTTGGTAATAGGTTTGCTTCTCTGTAAAAGAAAACGAAGGTAAGTATTATTATTGTTGTTGTTGTTGTTATGAATCATCGCACAGTTAGCCAGATGTTCAGACTGGATTTGGCATTTTGTCTACCTATCGAGTCCTTACCCAGGACCTGGGATAGGCAGATGTGGATGTTTGATGGTATTACAGATATCGTCGCAGGATGGAAGCAGTTCCTAGTAAGGCCGCCTTTTGCAATTGACTAATAGCGAATTTGTCAATGCCAATGGTGTTCAAGTGGTGCTCCAGTTGTTTTGGGATTGCACCCAAGGCGCCTATTACTATTGATACTACCCTTGCTTGCTTTTGCCACAGTCTTTCTATTTCTATTTGTAGGTCTTTGTATTTTGTTATCTTCTCCAGTTCTTTCTCTTCTATTCTGCTATCTCCAGGCACTGCCACGTCCACTATCCAGACTTTTTTGTCTTTCTTACCGACAATTGTTAAGTCTGGGGTGTTATGTTGCAGGTGCTTGTCTGTTTGAATTCTGAAGTCCCAGAGCAGTTTAATTTTATCATTTTCTATGACTTTCTCTATTTTATGATCCCACCAGTTTTTGCTTACAGGCAAATGATATTTTTTGCAGATCTTCCAATGCACCATTGTTGCTACTTTGTCATACCGCTGTTTGTAGTCAGTCTGTGCAATCTTCTTGCAACAGCTTACCAGGTGGTCCACTATTTCTTCAGATTCTTTGCATAGGCGGCACTTACTGTCTGTTGCTGTCTTCTCAATTTTGAGTTTATATGCATTTGTCCTTAAGGCTTGGTCTTGTGCAGCCAGAATTAGTCCCTCGGTATCTTTCTTCAATTTTCCTGCTCTTAGCCATTGCCAGGTCTTGTTATTATCTGCTTTCCCAGCTATTTTTTTAATGTATTGGCCATGTAGTGCTTTGTCTTCCCATGCCTCTATTCTGTTCTTCATTTGGTCTTTCTTGTAGGCCAGTTTGGTCTCTCCAGTAGTCAGTAAGCCTTCCTGATATACTAATTTCAGTGCATCTTCATCATTGTTCTTCAGATATTCTTCCAAAGCCATTTTTTCTTCTTCAACCATCTGATGTACTTGTAGCATTCCACGCCCACCTATTTGCCTTGGTAGATAAAGTCTGTCAATGTCACTGCGTGGATGAAGGGCATGATTCATTGTCATTATTTTTCTGGTCTTCCTATCCATTGCTTTTAGTTCTGCTTGAGTCCAGTCCACTATTCCAGCTGTGTACCTAATGACTGGGATTGCCCAGGTGTTGATTGCCTTTATGGTATTTCCTCCATTGAGTTTGGACTTTAAGATCTTCTTCACTCTCTTGATGTATTCACCTCTAATCTTTTTCTTGACTTCAGTGTGCTTGATGTTGTCAGCTTGAAGGATACCCAAGTATTTGTAGTAATCTTCCTCATCCAGACTCTTAATGTTATTTTCGTGGGGCATCTTGATTCCTTCAGTTTTCACTATTTTTCCTTGTTTGATAGTAAGTGTGGCACATTTGTCCAAGCCAAACTCCATACAATATCTTGGCTATATATACGGACAGTGTTGAGCAGCGATTCTATTTCAGATGATGTTTTTCCATACAGCTTCAGATCATCCATGTAAAGGAGATGGGATAGTTTGGTAGATGTTTTTGATGTTTGATAGCCATGTCCTGAGTTATTCAGTATTGTTGACAGAGGAAACAGTGCAATAACAAATAGTAATGGTGACAATGAATCTCCTTGAAATATTTCTCTCTTCATATTAACCTCTCCCAGTCTCTCACCATTGATCTGCAACTGTGTCTTCCATTGTGCCGTCGATCTTTGCACAAATTTTCTGCTGTTTCTACTGACTCCTGTTATTTCTAGACACTTGATTATCCAGTCATGTGGCAGAGAGTCAAATGCCTTTTTGTAGTCAATCCATGCCACATTCAGGTTGGTCTTCCTTTTCTTGCAGTTTTCCAAGATCATTTTGTCTATTAGGAGTTGATCTTTTGTTCCTCTGCTATTGGGGCGGTTTCCTTTCTGCTCAGGTGGAAAGAGATTGTTTTCAACTAGATGCTGTTGTACTGCATCAGCTACCACACCAGTTAGTAATTTGAAAGTTGTTGGTAAGCAGGTAATTGGCCTGTAGTTGCCTGGTGTTGCCCCTTTTGCTGGATTTTTCATTATTAGGTAGGTTTTCCCAGTTGTTAGCCACTTTTCAATTTCTCCTCCTTGTAGTATATTGTTGAACTGCTTGGCAATGAGTGGGTGTATAACAGTTAGATGTTTCAACCAAAACCCATGCAGTTCATCTTCACCTGGTGCTGACCAATTTTTGATTTTCCTTGCTCTTTTTTCTACCATTTTTGTTGTTATTACTAGTTCTTTCATTTCAACTTCTGTTTTATTTGCATCCACCTCTTTTAACCAAGCTGCATCCTTGTTGTATTTCTTTCGTTATCCCATATCTGCTTCCAGAACTGCAGTTTCTTCCTTCTCAGGTACTGACTGATTCATTGCAGTTTCTCCATTGATGGATTGGTAGAAACGTTTCTGATTGGATTTAAATTGGAAGTTCTGCCTATAGTTTGCAATTCGAGCTACAGCTGTTATTTGTTGCTTTATTATTTCCAGTGCTTCCTTGATCTTCCTTGTTTCTAAGTGGTATTTCTTGATTAGGTATTCTTTGGTCTTCTTGTTCTTCAACTTCTTTTCTTTCATCTGTTCTAGCTTGCTTTTCCCTGAAGTGAGATTGTCTCCATCTCTGTTAATTTTCTGTAACTCCCTCAAAATTTTGTTCTATCATCAGGCCTGGAAATGCCAAAGGAATAGTGAGTTTCTGAACTAGCTCCATTGCTTTTAATATACATTGCCATCTTCCTGTTTTTTAAAATCATATTAAAAATCATATTTAACTGTGTCAACAGTTTTTATATTGCTGTTTTACAGTTTTTTAAAATTGTATGTTGCCCAGAGTTATGTTTTGTGAGATGGGCAGCAATATAAATATGAAGGATTGGTGGGTGGATGGATAGATAGATGGATATCATGCTCAACTCAAAGGAAAATTTGTTTTGCTTTATATTACTAACTGGAAAAAATATCTTCCCTTTATAGATCTTTGAGGCAGCAGGAACATAAAGCACAGCTTGTCTGCAAGGAAAAATATTACATTGGCAAAAGTTATGGACAGAGATTAAAGAGATGTTTTTTTTAAATAAAAAAGAAAAGTATTTTGTTACGTTTGAGTTTGATACGGCAGTTAGACATCTAATGGATACATCAAACAGGCAGTTGAAAATGGAAAGAAATGAGGGATCATCCTTATAAAGGGAGTTACAAAATCCATGGAATGGAGTGATGTTACTCAGGGAAATATGTGAAATAGAAGAAAAAAAACCAAGTTCTTAAAAAGCAAACTCCTAGGCCGGGGGAAGGCAACTGTGGCTCTTTTATGACTCGTGGACTTCAACTCCCAGAATTCCTGAGCCAGCATGGCTCAGGAATTCTGGGAGTTGAAGTCCACGAGTCATAAAAGAGCCAAGGTTGCCTACCCCTGCCCTAGGCACTACCATTGAGAAAGGGAATGCTAAGGGACAATTTTCTGGCAATGTTATCCTTGAATGAGCACTTGTATATAAGTAGCATGTAAATATCTGCATTTCCCCCCCCCTCGATATAGTCTTTCAGACACAGTTTGGGAGTTTTTAGGAGAATATTTTAACATGTGATATTTTATACAGATTTATTTTCTATTTTCCTCGCATGTATTATAGGACAAAAACCATCCGACGACAACCAATAATAAATGGAGGACTCAGTGTAGAAATTGGAAACCCATCATACAACATGTATGAAGTGGGGCATAATCACAGTGAGAGGAGTCTTTCAGAGTTCACATTAAACCCAGAAAAGGTAAATGAAATATCTGATACTTTGCTTCCTCAGTCGTGCTCCTTAGCAATGAACTGCTGAGCTGGAATGAGATCCAAAACTGCCTGTGCATGAATGGAAGGAATATTTCAGTAAGGGGTGAATCTATGATCCAGCAGAGGCTTTTAGTGATCCAGAAGAATAACAGAGTTGGAATGGACCTTGGTGGTCTTCTAGTCCAACCCCCTGCTCAAGCTGGACACCCTGTATCATTATAGACAAGTGGCTGTCCAGTCTCTTTTTAAAATCCTCCAGTGATGGAGCACCCACAGCTTCTGAAGGCAAGCCATTCCATGGCTACATTCATGGCTGAACAAGAGCAAGACATTATACTGGCAAAAGGCATCCCTTAAATCCTACCAGTGGTGCTGCATCAGGGGGTTGGGGGAACAGAGAGAGGCCTTCTCACTTTTTCAAATAATAATCACCTCTATGAATTCCTGAAAGGAAGGCCTTCACTTATATAAAGTCTATGTTACCCCATTCCAAAACAGGAGCTGAGTAATGGATTGTTTTTGATATGATAGTATTTTTTAACTAATCAAGTATAGACAGTATACTGTATTTATTTTCTTCTTCACCAAATGAAAATTAACTTGATGCTGATATGTTTCTGAATGAATATGTATAAATATAATCCTGAATCTAAGAAACAGGTTTTTTCTTTTTTTTTACTATAAGGGGAAAAAGTTGTAACATGTATTTTCGCTCACTAAGTGCTCACTCATTTCAGGATTGAGGGGGAGATGTATTATTTTTAAATCAGAAAATAAACTTCAAAACATGCTTTATTCAATGCAGGGCAGATACATAGGGAGAGGTCCCACAGTCTTCAAGCTCCCCCATACGGCACCACCCATCTACTTAAACTCTGATCTGAAAGGACCTCTAACAGCAGGGGTGAGAAACAGTCATTCATTTTCCATCTTCATTCTATCACAGTGCTCTTCCAACAGTAACAAATGTTTCTCTGCTTTCCCACAGATAAAACACATCCACTTATATGCCAGAAATTTTGACCAAATAATGCTTTTTTCCTATTAACTAGGTCTACTACATTGAGGCAGCAGAAATCTAGCTAGTTAGATTTCTGTCAGAGTTTAGAGGCCATCTTGATTATTTTTGCAGCCCAGATATTATTTTACAAAAAACAAACTTGTGTACTCAACTTACACATTAATTGTATTCCCATAATTAACATCACACCTATTTTGTTCCTTAAAAGGAAACAAGAATATGCCATGACACACCCAGTTTATAGTTTGGTGATACTTTGCTATGCAGGTTTAGTAATTTATGGTAGTTTATATAATCTTCTCCCAAAGTCAAAACATATAAATTATACTATATTGGAAGGTTTGAGCTGAATTTAGTTTCATATAGTTTTTCATTTTTCATTTCTTAACAGAAAGGTTCTTCCTTCAGGGTAAACAATGTCAAAACTTAGTTCTGAAAAGATATCAGAACTGTGTAAGATAAAAGGAAGAAAATAACTCTTTCTTCTTCAGGTTCTCCATTTCTACCCATTTTCCCATCTGAACGATAAACAATGTGGGCTCCACGGATGCTATAGGACTCCCAGTTTTGTGATGGACAATTCTCCAGAATACCCCTTTTGGGATTCTGGCTTTGTCTAATACTTAGTCTTTTCCTTAAGGTGAAAGAACACATATTACAGTGGCAGGACTCTCTTCCATTTTAGTTTCAGGGAAAGAAATACAAAAAGTCTTTGGACTCTTTGGATGTTCTCCAAGGAATGACTTGATGGCAGTCCAAAAGCATTTGTACCTTATAGGTTCCTAAATCTGTGCTTAGTTTTGATAGAATTTCATGCACATAGTATATGCAATTCAAAAAAGATAGATGCACTCAAATCACATTCAAAATATGTTTTAAAATAAGGCAATGAAACATTAATGCTGTCAGTTTACTATTTGCATCCATTATCTCTAAATAATATATTGAAAATCTTTGAACTGTTTTAAATATGAGTAATATTGTTATTAGTCATCCTCATTGGCAAAGATGCATATATTTATATACATCATTTGTCATGTGTATTACATGATTTCTGTAACTGAAAATCATTTTACATGTATTTAATTCTGCAAAATGACTCTTCGTAAAAAATGCTGGGAAATGGTTTTACAAAATAAAGAGTGGGTGATCAGAATAATGTAAGGCACTTTGTTATGGTTTATGCTGAGCTTCTCTGATCATCAGTTATTGTATTCCAGCCAATTTTATACTGTATGACACCCATTAAGGATGCAACTTAATTCTGTGCATATTTAATAGTAGTTACTTTTTAGTATGGATGCTTGGAAAAGTAGGCCTGGTTATATATGGCAATAATGACAATAATTGAGTTTGAAGACTGAAAATGTGAATTCAGTCATGAATCATGCTATGAATCTTTCCAATATATCTCTCCAGTATGCTTAAAAGCAGGAAGACCTTTGTTTATCTCAGTGTTTGAATCATGCTGTCTCTCTCTTAAGATCACCAGAAAAGTGAACTCACACAATAGAGAATATGAAACAATTTGTGCCAGACCTGTAGTCTGAAATTCTGGCTAGGTTTATAACTGAAAAAAGAGCACATCCGCAAAATATTTTTCAGAAGCCAGTTCATTTATTTAGACAGGTGCAATTTTAAAAGATCTTAATTTTTCTGGTTTCAGATTCTAGGTGGGCATACAACAGAATTATTTCAACTATACTCTTAGCTAGATCCTTTTGAACAGTACACTTACAGAGATGTACAATAGACTCAGTGGTGGGATTCAGCCAGTTTGTGCCACTTCAGCAGAACCGGTAGCTAATTTTTTGTTGCTCAGGCCCTGAATGGACTTCCGGAAACGATATCCACACAGAGAACCAGTTGTTCACATATTTGAATCCCACTACTGAATAGACCACAAGACCAGGGGTAGGCAACCTCGGCTCTTTTATGACTCATGGACTTCAACTCCCAGAGTTAGCTATGCTGACTCAGGAATTCTGGGAGTTGAAGTCCATGAGTCATAAAAGAGCCGAGGTTGCCTACCCCTGCACTAGACAATAAAATAAGGGCAGACAAATAGTTAAACTGGGCCAGACCAAAAGCCATCATTTTTTTCCATTTTGTTCTTGGCTGCCAATTTTATCACAACAAGAAGTCTAAATTAGAATATGAATATAGTATTTTTTCTTTTCCATCAACTTGTATATATTGCCTCTGTATCTGTAGGTGAGAGGTGGCTATCAGAACCAATACTTATGCGCCACAAAATTATTGTCCACAGAAACAAGCATTTTAGAGCAAAATGCAACATTTCATAAATTAAATATAAACTCACATCTTTCATGATCTTCACCATGAAGCTCTTTGTTGCCCCTGAAAATCCATTCCAGAAGGCTGAAGTCATAAGTTTCAAAGCTGCAATAAACAGGGTAAATTACTTCATATTAAGCAGAGGAAGAGTGTAGCACTCACATTAAATTCTTGAATTTACAGTTTCCCTTCTCACTGCAGTATAGTTGCACAGTCTATAAGTTCTATTGATCCCCCAAACATGAATTTTTAGTGGTATTCAAGCCGAAGGGAGATACATGCAAGGAGAAAGTTTAATTATTCAAGCTCTTTGCACAATATTGGATTTTACCAACATAAATCAAATAAAAATTTCTTTTCCATCTGCTCTTTCCACTTGGCCCTTTCATGCACATTGCCCTGAATACTGCTTTTCTGCTATACTTCTAACAGTAGCCCTCTTGTAAGGGAAAAACTCCATTTAAGCATTTGTTTTATGTGCCCTTGTAAGTCTAAATGCACTAAGTGCATGATCTTTAAAACTTTGCACATAATATGTATGGGTAGAAATATACACATTAGTCCAAAGATAGTCAGAACATATCTGCTCATGTTACTTGCTTCTGTCTCTCTATTTTATTTAAAAATAGCTTGATGATACAACTGATAATTCCAGATTAAGCTAAAAATAGAATTTGCTCTAAAATAAGTACCTTGGAAGTTAAACCATTATTGTTTTGGCTTGGTAAAGTGTAAATATTGCCCCTTATGTTTTAATAGGCTGTTTCAAGCTTCAATCAACATTTGGATTAGGGAAGAGAATCCATCTAGATCCTTCCCCTTTTTATTAATGTTAACATAGCTGGTGTTTCATTAATATCTCTGCTAGGGAATAGAATGATGATACAACTGATAATTCCAGATTAAGCTAAAAATAGAATTTGCTCTAAAATAAGTACCTTGGAAGTTAAACCATTATTGTTTTGGCTTGGTAAAGTGTAAATATTGCCCCTTATGTTTTAATAGGCTGTTTCAAGCTTCAATCAACATTTGGATTAGGGAAGAGAATCCATCTAGATCCTTCCCCTTTTTATTAATGTTAACATAGCTGGTGTTTCATTAATATCTCTGCTAGGGAATAGAATAAATTTCTCCTACTTTAATGTACTTCCAGATGGGAATCCTTTGGGACTTGTCAAGCATAAACAATCATTCATGGTCCATAAAGGAAGAATATGTCTATTGTAAAGCAAAGCATATAATCAGCTGGGACGTGTATGATGTTCCTCTCCTCTGTTCCAGATAAATTTAGGTTCTCCCTTGTTGTATGTCATCACTGATATACAAAGAGTCTCAGATGAAATATTATAACAGCCCTATTCCTTGGCTTAATAATCATCTCTTAGTGTCTTCTGATGTATTTTTATTTATTTATCAAATTTAGATAAATGTATGCATGTCATGTTCCTTTTCTGATTAGCATTTTTTTTCACTCAGGGAAATTACAGCAATCTAAAATAATAGTTAATATGTTTGTCTCTTTTCAGCCAACAAACTATTCGAATCCAGTGTATGCAAAGTTATACATGGATGGGCAGAATTGCCGAAACTCCTTAGCAAGCATGGATGAAAGGAAAGAACTTCTTCCAAAGAAAATAGATATTGGCATAAGGGAGACTGTGGCATAATCATTGTAATCTTTTGTATACTGTATAAATGTATAAAATATAAGGATTACTTTTCTATGTACCAACGGTATTATAATTGTTTTGGCATCAGCATTACCTCTGGATATTTTTTCAATTTGGTTGGTGGTTATCTGGGTCTTTCTTTTGCTGATGACTTGACTGACCATTTGTATGGTATTTTTATGAAGAAAAAAACTGCACTACAGTACAATTTGCAACAATGCTGCTGATATAACACACACTGAATTTGTTAAAAATTTGAAAAAATCCTTTGTAGTGTGAATATGGGCAATCTATTTTGTATGAATTTTTTCCTTTGGTTTTACTTAATCTACTGAAGACAATATCTGCACTTTTCCATTATATGGTCTGAAGGCTGTAGTACAGTGTGTGAATTTGTTTTTGTTTCAGATAGTGGAAGTATGATTGGGTTGTTTACTCTCTTCGTGCTCATTAGAAATTCACTTCAGAACCTTAAAACTATAGAGGAGCTAATTTCACAATCAAACATAACTTGCTTTTCCAATTAGCTTTAGGTTGCAAAGAAGCTATGAGTACTATAGAAAACATCTAATGGTCTGCATGAGCACAGATTATTCCGTTTTGGAGATTCAGTGATTGTCCAAGCTATACTAAACATATATACCATGTAAAAATAATTCATATTTAGTAAAATCTTAGTGAACTTAGTGATATACCACTTGCAAGTGGTGAGACCTTAACAGATGTGTGAAAAGGCCTCTTCTGCAATCCTAAGAGGGCGTCACCAAGACTGCACATAAGTTTATGCATTTCTTTAATCAGTCACAGGCACACTTTGTGTATGATGAGTTTCCATATTTTGTCAGGAGAGCAAAAAGCCATAAGCACACACATGGAGAACCAGATTCTTAGGAGGAGGGAGGAAACTCAACCCTTTCAGAGAAACATTACAGCAAACAAGTTTTCATTCTTTTGTATCAATCAACACATTATTTAAAAGCAAGTGTGGATAAATTTTAAAATTTCTTCAACAAACCTCAAGCTCACATTCTCAATAATGGAGAGTGTAAAAATGTAATCAATTTCCAGCACTTTCTCTGGTATTAGCTTATTTTATGTTGTTATGAAGAATAAAAAGAAAAAAAACAAAATAAATACAACATTTGCCTTTTTTTAATTTGGCACAAAGATGTCATGCAATTTGTTTAACCACCCATGGAATCTTTTCTAAACAACTTTAAGGCACAAAATATTTCTCACACTGGCATTCAAAGAACTAGAGGACTTTTCATTCCTCGGCTACATGTTGCTGATTTTAGCTGTCATGGTCTATTAATCTAACAGATTAAATACATTTGTGGTGGCTCTATTCCCTTTGTACAAACATTGCAAAAAATAACACCTGTTTTATAAGAGATTTTTTGTTGTATTCTGTGCATGCATACTACCTATTTCTAAACTTTGCCATGCTGAGGCCTTTATTAAAAAAAAACTTGATTCAAGTAAATACAGTGCAGTTTTGCTTGAACAATATTGTGCATATTGCAAAACTTTTCAATTTTCCAGTTTAAAACTATTAGATTCTTAATTCCATTTTACTTGGTTAAAAGAGTCATGCCACCTATATTTCTAGGTGTTTTGTATATCTATAAAAACATTGGCTTTCCTTTATTGAAATGATTGGACTGAGCACCTTAAATACACAAACATACTACATAAGCAACATAAACTAGTAACAAATAAAAATTAAATGAAGAGCATTATACTAAACTTCAGATTATGGTGAGATGTCCATTAGCGGATTTTTCTGCAATGGGCTTTGGGTGAAACAGATGCAATTCCCATTATATATTCATCATTTCACATCAAATGAAGGAAATGATGAAAATGATGTAGTTTGCCTGATGACACTGTAGGACAGTGGTTCTCAACCTGTGGGTCGGGACCCCATTTTGGGTCGAATGACCATTTCACGGGGGTCACCAAACCATGCTGTCCACCATTTTTTTCCTTTTTCCCTAGCTGTCCTACTCCCTCTTATTGGTGGCCACACCCACTTGGGGGTCACCACAACATGGGGAACTGTATTATGGGGTCACGGCATTAGAAAGGTTGAGAATCACTGCTGTAGGAGGATAGGGACCAATTGGTGGCATGCCACGGCCCGGTACTGGTCCATGTACTGGGGGTTGGGGACGTCTGTCTTAAGGTGATGTAAGGAATAAAATTCTACTCAAAGAGTGTTGGAAAACAAAACAAGTTTTATTGAAGCGTTTGCAAAGGCTGGTGGACCTTTCTACCTGCAAGTAAAAGACTACACTCAGATTAGGTCAGCATAAATCTTTATACCCTGTCCCATACAATACGCCACATCCTTCTTTTCCAAACCCAGTTGATAAGTCCAGCCTGGTCACATGCTTTCCAACCGCCCAGTAAAATTATTAGATATTGCAGCTATACAATTAATAATTCTCCTTTGTTTTACCTTTATCTTTCCCTTTTTATGTTTGTGGCATTCATCCAACTCAGCTCACAACAGGAGCCTGTTTGTCTAAACTGAATGATACAAATGTTTCAACCCTGTTCCCTTGCCTATCTATACAATGTAACTAATGCCTGCTTCAAACGAAAATTTGTGTATGTCATCACGTTAGCAAGCTTAAATATGGCTGCACTTTGGCTATATGATTATACCTTAAAATATTGGCTCTAAATAGTTTTTATAAAATATAAATTAATCTATGTTATGAAAATTTTTAACATACATTTATTATGTACCTCACAGTGATTTTAGCCTATTTAGTCTTCCCTTGAACTTTCCACAGCTAATTACTCCATTAAATATTTAAGGATTGAACTATATTTTTATACAGAAAATAAAAGGTCATAATCTTTCAAAATTCACATCAGAGATATGCCACAGAGATTTGAGGTGCTTTTAAATATGCCAATTCTGTTCAATCATAGTCTGTTCTCCGGATGTGCTTGTAGACTTGGCATCCATGCAAGTGAATTCTTAAAGCCAGCAGCAGTAGACATCTGTGCTAATGTATTTCCAATTAGTCTATATTGTATTGGAAAGGACTCTTGGAATGACTTTCCTTTTAATGCATTGCAGCTCAGGAATGCTTGTGAGTGCAGGAGCTTTTCACTGGCAAAAAGTGCACATAGGCTCCTGGCTCTTTTCTGACCCTGAAGATTATCTGTTCCCCTTCATCTTGCTGAGATGCTCTTCAGTGTAATAAAGGATACCTCTGCATCTCCTCCAAGTAACTGTTGCACCTTTTTGTTTCATAAAATTACTAGCCAAATGCCCCCAACAAGCAATAAAAATTGGGGAGGGGTGACTAAAAATTGTGATCTTCTTTCTCAACATTTTGCAGTTGGGCAGCCATGAACATGATGTGCACTGCATTAGCGTCAAACTGTTTTGGAAGAACTGGAGTGGACTGGAAAGTTATTGCCTTATGGTTTTGGCAGTTTGTGGTTTTGTACAAAATGTGACTTCCCAATACATTCAAATTAATGTATTAATACAGCTATGCACATTCTTCAAAACGGGCTCCCCAACATAGAGAAAGCGTTTCAAAGTAGCTTCTGTGAATCATTACAGCAGCTGCCATTGTTGCTTTAGAAGCTGCAATTGGCTGTTTCTAGTCACTTAGCTTCATGTTTTCCCCCAGTGTAAGAAAGTAGCTGTTCATCCACAGATGTGTGGACACAGCAAGGGCAACTTCTGAAGCAGCTTCATGTCCCTATACAAATGAGAGGCTGCTTTAATGATCTAGAAAAGAATGCTTCATACTTGCACCCATGCATTGCACAGCAGTTTTTCTGCAAGTTGAACAGACCCAATATTTAAGGTAATCCTGCTTGTATTTTTTAAATGAAACTTTTTTTCAGAGGTTTTCATCGTGATATCTCATTCAATAAATATTTTACAGTGCTATCAGTTCTCATTAGTAAATAAGCATTAGATATAAAGGCTTACAAGATCTAGGATGCCAAAATCTGCAGGGTCATTAGATGGAAGAAATACACAAAACAGTAACTTTACATCCCAGATCTACTAGCCAAAGGATAAATTACCTCCCAAGGTAATTTATCCCTCTTTATTATTAAAAACATAAAATTATTCTAATCTGAATTTTGCACCACAAGGAGAGATACAAACCTCCACAATTACTATGCTGTGAGAAATACTATACAAGTAACTAAATTTGGATTTACTAAATTTGGTCTTGTCATCCTTCAGATTTATTCAATGAAATGATTCCTCGATTTAAAAGCCCTTGGATAACATCAGACCAAATTTGTGTAGGACATTCCTAAAATCCAATTCATCATATTATGCATGCATGAAATGCATAATATATGCATGCCTAAAATCCCATTGTATTTACGTGTAAAATGCATAAATTATGTGTACTACCAATATATAATTTAATGGCATTCTTCTTTAACAAACTCCCCTCTCTCGTATAGTCCATTAAACTGTTTATTTATCATAATAGGAAGTAGTCCAATATCTATGGTTAGAAATGAATGTAGATTCCCTGATAGATATCTTAAAATATCTTAATAAATGTTTGAAAAGGCACTGCGCAACAGATTCAGTAAAACAGGAGGCTTACTCATGATAGCCAATTAATTATCACAATTGAAGGAATTCTAGACAAAGTACTTTTCCTGTCAATGTGAACTCTAATTAAAATTCATGTCTCATAAAAGCCACTTGACTCTCAGTTATGATTAAGTATGCAAGGTCATTAGAACCGCAATGAGAGCTGTGCCAGAAGCAGACCCCGAGTTACTCAGTGAAACTTCAAAAATATTACCATGTTTTGGGAAGAATAGTGTGAGAAATACAAATTATACTTCATATCAAATGTGAAGGACTGTTGGAAACAATAATTGTCTAGCCTTTTTGCTTGTTTTAATATGGAGTATGTGCTGAGTCAATGCTAAATTAAATGCAAACTTACTTCAAAATTAGAAGTAAATCCACATATCTTTTACATTAAAATTAATGATTGCCAAGTAACTTTCAAACTAAGTTTTAATTAGTAGGCCCCACCAATTTTCAGTCTAGTTAACAATTGATAATCTTGTGCTCCTGATCTGTTGAATGAATTATTTCTATTTTAAAAGGAAAACAAAGATTAAGAAAAGACGAAACTTGATATATGATAAAGGATTTTTTACCTTTACATTTAAAATAATTTCTTTTTCTAAACTATGCTTGTATGTAGGCTTTTCATGGACACTTCTCCAAATACACATTGTGCATGTTTTTTTCAAGTGTAAACATTGCAAGTAATTTTTCCTAATATAGTTGACAAAAACATTTTTCCTGCATATAAATATCAGAACAAATGTTGCAATCCATATTGCAAGAACCTGAAAATGTGAAATTCAGATTTACTTTGAAGCTGCAACTGAGGTACCTTTGGGCCAAAATCAATCTTCTTTACCCTCCAATTCTGCTAGGGTTTTTTTTTTGGGGGGGGGGGGTAAATATAGAACTATTGTTGGTCCTTCAACTAATTTCCACCAATGCATAATTTTAAGAATGGGTTATGAGAGGATTTGCTGTCACATAAGTCACTGGGCAGTGCTCAAAATACTTGGGTGAGGAACAAGCCCTACTTCTGAAGGCACATGGAGGTAGAAAGGAGTAGGTATTCCTATAGAAATTTAAATTCCAATTTCTTTGGTACTTCAAGCTGGGGTACACAATCAGTAGAGAACTAGTTGAGTTAAAAGAGTGAAATGTGATCTGAATAAGTTGTACCCATTAAAGTTATTGCACATATATTTTGAACTAGCTAAAGCTTTTCTGAATTATATCTTCATTTCCCAAATTCAAATCATGAAAGCAAAATTTCTGGCCAGTAACAACGCTACATACACAAGGAAACTTTTTATGGGGCTCCATGATTCTGTCTCTCTATTAAGCCTGAATAAACAAACAAATAAATAAATAAATAAATCAGCACTACAGTTGCTGTCCCCTTTGAACTGCTGTGAAGAATGAGGATAGCAAATGTGTATCAAGACAAGTTGGGCTGCCATATATTAATTTGCTTTGATGATTTATTGTCCCATCTGCCCATCATTTCGGTTCTGCACAGGTTGTGGGAAAAAGTGGGCTTTTCTTTCTTTTGTAATAAAGGTGGCTCCATCTAAGTTGTTGTCCCCATCCACCCTAGGTTGCCAGTAGGCTGAATTGACAAGCTACAAAAAAAATAGGAAATTCAATTCTCTTTCCTCTGTGGCTAGCACGGAAATGCTGATTACAGGTCTCCAATAGTTACCTTAAAGCAGCGGTTCTCAACCTGTGGGTCGCGACCCCATTTGGGGTCGAACGACCATTTCACGGGGGTCGCCAAACAACGTGATCCGCCATTTTTTTCCCTAAGCCGGCACAGGGGGTGGCGCCATGCATGCGTGCCGCACAGGGGGCGG